CTCTCTATAATACGGAAAATCTCTCTAAGACGGACAGCGGACACTATTGAAACCGTCAACGGCCAAATTGGGAGGTGCTTAATGTGGTGACAAAGACCTCAAAACGGAAATGTAGGTGCTCTACATGACAGTAACTTAAACTGCAAAATGTTTGATATGTTAAGTAGTTTTGCTCTGGTAGTTAAGAGAGCGTATAGTGTTAAGCTTTTAGACCACGAAGCCGTGAAAGCGGTTTGATTGTAATGAACGTCTGATTGCACAATGAGAAAAGAACTCCACTTTTGTTGCAGTGTTCCAGCTGTACCTGTTTTGTGCAAGTTAAACAGACGTTTATTCATCGCGTATAGTTTCAACTTTAAAATTGCTGGTGTCACGATGCCCTTTTCTAAGAAGGACATCTTTGGGATAAGCCCTGACTGTCTGTCTCAGAAAGAGTTGACAGTATTTTAGGTTATGCAAATATACTTATGTTTAAACTTAATACAAGCATATGAAATTATATATTATTCATTCAAAATATTTCTCTGTTTCTGATTGACTAAAATCACTCGCATAATTCATCATAACGAGCTACTGTTGACCAAATTTGGAAAATTTTTGCGATATTGAACCGATGGCGTCAAAAGTGCGGTGAAAATGCAGGTTATTGAACCGTTAACAGAGAAGACCTGGGGACGAGTTTGAGTTGTTTTCGAAGTGAGTGATGGCGAAGTAAGTGGTGGCGGAACATTTTACTCGTTTCACGTCGAACTATTGTCTAAAAATATAGCAAGAACAGCAAGAAAACAACTCGAAGAACGACATCTGCTATTTGGAGTATATTTGCAGACCTGAACAGCCCTTATCTCCTAAACTTCCCGAAAAAGATGCATTATCGATATAAACTTAACATCGACGGAGGTAAGGATGTTTTAACTTGTTTCTTAACTTGGAATTATTTTGAATCCTATGATGCCGAATTTAATAATTGCTAAACATTCTTTGGTCCACGAGAAAGCTTTTCTCTCCATAACTTTGGACTTAATATAAAAACGAGTAAAAGACTATATCAGAATAATAAGATGCTAACAGATAAATAAACAACTTCAAGTCACATTTTATGCACAAATGATTAGAATCTTACGTCAAGGTGGAAGAGACCCAGGGGATAAGACGTTTGTAACTTACCGCACCGTGTTCCTGTGTAGCCTTTGTTACATTTACATGTAAAGCTGTCTTTGGAGTAGTCTGGGATGCAGATTCCTTTGTCGCCGCAAAGGTCCTCGTTGCTAGACTCGCAGACACTCTGTTTTAAAGGCAAGGAAAATAACTAAAGCCCCGTGCTAACGAACACAACATTGTTGGCCAACAACTCCCAACATTGTTGGATGTTATATGTTGCGTCCGTCTGCACACTTTGTTGCATGTTGTTGCGCGTTGTTGGAAGTTGTTGCAAAGTAAGTTTGAAACCGGTCAAAGTTTTGAATAATAAAAAGCTTTCAGACTAGCAGACACTCTGTTAAGGAAAAAAAATATCTTTAAATAGCAAAAAATTGTACATGTTGCCATTGTTAAGGTGTTTCGATACAGTTTTTCAGAGGCCATACCGATATTTTTCAATCGCCTTTAAAGTGGTTTTTTCCTTGTCCGATCGCTATGAAATTTTCACCAGTAATTGGCTATGGATTGAAATTTGTGAAAAAGTAGATTTAAGTAAAATCGATATTACTATGACAACAACAAACAAAAAACTTTGAAACTGATGAAGCCGAATTTGGTGTGATCTAGATCCGCTACTGAAAATCCAACACTAGGAACTTAAAGTTTGGGGTTTAGCAAACAATCTCCGTAAGAAGTAAAAAATTCTGTATGTTTGAATTCGACTAAAACGAAAATATATTTCAAATTTTAAATTTTCAATAGCCGCGATAGATTATATATTAAAAACGTGATGAATGACTCAAATTCTTCTTAAGTAGCGTCAGAATGCTGCTTAATATCATCTTTTGCTGCTAGGAATTTGGAGTATTTTCGATCTTGCGATGTTGAAAACTAACCCGTTTTCTCACCACCTGTATAAGTGCATCGTCATTCAAAATTTGGACTTTAAGCGCTTTTTTGTATATCTGTGAAACGATTCGAACGAGTGTTTTAAAATCTCTTTACATAATCTTCATAATGTATATAATAATGTCTGAAACTTTCATTAAGATTGATTCACTTTAACACGTTGAAATTTCAAGACAAACCTATCCGACGAATTGGTCAAAAATCAGCGCTACAGCATTCACTGTTTTGACGTTATGCTAATTTTCCCAAAATAATGTGCATTATACATACCTCTACGACTAGTACATTTTAGTTTGAATTTATCGCATCTTTTGAATGTAAAACATTAACAATACTCACACTGAAATGTAGCAGTCATGGATATATGTATTGTCCGCACTAATTTGTAAAAATAAGCATAACGTCAAAACAGTGAAAGTTGTAGCGCAGATTTTTGACCAATTTGTAGGATAGGTTTGTCTTGAAATTTCAAGGTGTTGAAGTGAATCAGTCTTAATGAAAGTTTCAGACATTATTTTATACATTATTGAGATTATGTGAAGAGATTTTAAAAAAATGAGTTCGAGTCGTTTCAGAGATATACAAAAAACGCGCTAAAAGTCCAATTTTTGAATGAAGTTGCACTTAGACAGGTGGTGAGAAAACGGGTTAGTTTCGCAAGAACGAAAATATACCAAAATTTCAGAGCATCGAAATATGATATTAAGCAGCATTCTGACGCTACTTAAGAATAATTTGAGTCATTTATAACGTTTTGTTAAATAATTTATCACGGCTATTGACAATTTAAGGTTTGAAATATAGTTTCGTTTTAGTCGAATTCAGACATGCAGAATTTTTTTCTTCTCACGGAGGTTATTTGCTAATTACCAAACTTTAAGTTCCTAGTGTTGGGTTTTCAGTAGCTGGTCTAGATCGCTCAAAATTAGGCTTTTATCAATTTCAAAGTTTTTTGTTTATTGTTGTCATAGTAATATCGATTTTTACTAAAACCTACATTTTGACAAATTTCAATCTATAGTCAATCATTGGTGAAACTTTTATAGCTATCAGACAAGGATAAAATCACTTTTAAAGCGATTGAAAAATATGGGAATGTCTTCTGAAAAACTATATCGAAACAACTTAACTAAGTATTTCTCTTTTGATGGTTAATTACCTCTATTCCTCTGTACTTGAAATTGTCATCTTTTGTAAAGTTACCAAAACCAAAAAATCTATCGCAACCATTTAACTGACACAGGAAATTCCCAGCTTTATGCTTCTTGAGTCCAAAGTTGTAAGAGCGGCATTGCTCGTCATTGACACATTGAAGCCTACACGCACCCTCCGTATCAACTTGCATTTCTTTTATCACGCTTCCATTCAACTTTCGTCCTTCTTTCGCCTTAGCAAAGTTGAAAACGAGATCCTGAAATACGGCTTAAGCCCGATGCAGTCTCGGCAAAGACGAGTACAAGGCACAGTAACATTTTTTCACGGATCTCTTTAACGGTATAACAGGTGTTTTAATATATAACTATTAAGTTTTCCTTTAAAGATGATCAGTTATACTGGTTCCCAGTATCTTCTCGTTGTGTTGTTTCCCTCTGGAGCCTGGTTTCTTGTTGCCACAAGAACGATATGGTCGCGACACCTTAAGATCAATTAAATTTGACCGGCTTGTTTCTTCAGAGTCACCCCTTTAGTGAATAATATGAGTAATATTCTTCGCAAGGAAACTGCCCAAGACATTTTACACTTACAACTGTGGGCAGGATGCGATTTTAAACATGAAACTGGTAATCTACGTACCAGTTAGCCTGGACCACAGACGAAACTTAACTCTGGTGAAGTCGGTCTACAAAACAGCGCCTAAATCCTTGTTCTGGGCCCCAACTGTGTACCAGGATTTGAGTACGCGCTATGATTGGCCTGTGAAAAAAGACGTTGTTAATTTGCCAATCAGTAATAAAGGAAATTCCAAACGCACCTCCGGTTATTCGTTGAGTCCGTTGGGGGCCTACAACGAGAATATATCTCGGCGATGCTTCGCAGACGTCACTAAGCGATGTTAAAGTACGTCTTCGACGCAGGCTACCTACCGGCTTAATCCAAACTTTCTAGTGAAGATAAGTAAGTTATTTTAAGACCCCCTTACGTACAGATAAGTGATCTGGCCCCCAAGTTTTGAAAGAGCAAGAAATATTCATCTTCGCCTGAAATAATCCTAAAACTTTATTAGGTTAACACAGATAAGAGGTAAGCCCATTTTTTGCCAATGGCTACGTTCGATATATTAAAATTCTACCATGACTCCGAGGCCTTCTGGTCATTTGTCTATATCTGCTATGGTTTTCTTTGTGCTCAAGTCTCTTCTGGGAATTGCGAGACAACAGAGTCGTGAAAAATTTGCAATTTTCACCCTAAAACCTCCGAGTCATGTTACTTAGAATTTTTATTAATACTGTCGACTCCCGATAACTCGAACCATCGCTAACTCGAACCTCGCGTTAACTCGAACCAAAATCGATTACCCCTGGATTTCCGTCATATATTCACTGTAATGTTACCCTCGGTAACTCGAACCCTCGATAACTCGAACTCCCGCTAACTCGAACCAATTTTCGTTTCCCCTCAGGTCATTTTCGATATAATTTTACCCTCGATAACACGAACCATGTTTTGAGCCCTTAAAAAGTCGGGAAAAAAGCCGTCTACTGGCTTCCAAAACATTGAATTTTGGATTTCCTATTGACGTGTTGTAGGATTATAGTTTACTAGTGGAGGCTGATGTTCATTGTCACAGACTAACATGAAGCAGCTTTTCTTCTGAAAAAAATAAAACGCAAGCTCTATTTAGGCTATGTTTTGTTACTGTTACGCTCTGATTTATAATCTAGAAGTATCTTTTAATTTTCACTTGACATTTGTACAATTAAATGTGATTAAAATGTTCACTGTGCAGTAAAAACTGTTGTTTACCTTACTCTCGGCTATTTTCTTCGAACTGCCGATAACTGGAACCTTTTTCTGTTTTCCCTTGAAGGTTCGAGTTATCGGGAGTCGACTGTACATTGAAAGTGGGCTATAGTGGCTGGCAAGGGAGGCAAATGGGGATTGGGCGGAGGGGGGCGGGGGGGGAAATACGGGTTGAGTATTTAGCCAGTTCTGCAAAGCCTACACTGACTAAAAAGGGAGTTCTCACAGTCTTTTAGAAATTGAAGATAATCACTTGCATACATCCTTTATTTATTGCAAGGCAAAAGATCAATTCGCTTGCAAACATCACGTGATCTGCAATGGGCTCTTGTAAACATACATTCTAACAGGTGTCACATGATGAAACCAATCGTATTCGAATTGTCACTTTATCAATTAAAAATTTCAGGTTCAGAATTAACTGTAAGTGGGCTGTCAAAATGGCCTGCCAGTGGGCAAGAAAAAGTGAATTAATCCTGTTTTCGGATTGTCTGGATTGTCTACCCAAGCGAGCATTTAGGGCCCATTTGGCCACTCGAGAATGCTCCGCTTTGGTCCATAGCAAAATAGTTTGCTTTGGCCATATTATGACCAGGCTTGTTCAGTTACGACGGCTAAAAGTTTGGGATCCTTCCTCTTCTACTACATTTTTTTGCGCTGTTCCTGTGAAACTCGTCTTTGTTTTGGCAAATATAAAAAGGAAAAACCAACCTGGCCAATTTTAGCCATCTTGACCTTACGTTTCGTCAATAAGTTAAACGCATAAATTGTAAGAGCCGGTTTTAATCCACTGAGTACAAATGCGCCGAGTTATTTTTGGAAAGACTTGTGGGACTGTCACTGGGGACAGGAAAAAAATGTTGTCCAATTGCTGTCCAGCGCGATAACGATCCCACAAAAAATTCCCGGACACATTTCGGTTCCAGTTACTTTCTCGTTTCCAAGTGTCAAATACAAGATGAACTGCCAGAATTAAAGCCCTCCAACCAATGACGACACTCAATAACTGAGTTCGTTCTGATTGACCGGGTTGTACTTTCAAGCCGTAACTATACTTAAAAAGTCACACTTGCTCGCACTCAATCTTAAACTGGAAATTTCATAAGATTAGGTAGCAAGTGGTGTCAAATGTCTACCAACTTAAATGATACGACGCAAATCATAGGTCATCATAATGCGGTAATACCATTTCTGTTTATGGTTTAGGCTTTAATTTCATCTCAGTGCGTTTCAAAGAATAATACTGTCCTCTAAACGTGACCCATTTTACTCCATGGGGCAAGTAGCTGGTGTTGTAAGATCCTCGACGATACAAACCATTTAGATTGGCCCAACTGCAGGAATGGTACCACCATGCTCCACTGAGTAAAACAGCACAATTGTCAGGGTGCAGATCACTGTCGACATCTTTGGTTGAAAACTGTAAGTTACTGCAGAAAAAAGTCACAGTTTGATAATGGCACAAATCAAACAAAGAGATTTGTTTGTCAGGAGGTTATCTATTTACCGTAAGGATTTGAAGAAAGGATTTCGAGGTGGATTTCAAATTTACGAGTCGCCCCATGCATGTAAGGGAATGCAAGACGGTCTTGGAGTCTGGATTCCACGCCGTGGATTTCCAGATTCCAGTACTGGATTCCTCACCTTTTTTTTTTAATTGGAACTTGGATTTCGGATTCCAATTGTTTGTGGGATTCCGGATTCCTTGAGCTGGACTCCGGATTCTAAAACCCAGAACTCCATATTCCACATGCGAAATTCTACTAATTCCAGATTCCGCAAGCAAAACTCCCCAGCCCAACATGGTGTGATTCGAGTAATACGCATCATGCTTCCGAAGTAAAGGCTTTGTGCATTACAGCTCACTGCTACACCTGCAGTCAAGATACAGATGCCACTTATGTGGCTGTGGTCGATTACGAGTCTACTTGACTCTACAAATTAATAAAATGGTTTGAATATCAGAGAGAAGGTATCTATCTATGAGGTGGTCAGCGTTTTCGATCACTTATTGTAAGGGTAAAAAGACTTGTAACAGCGGTGTAAGGTGGGCTTTGAAGAAAGTATATGAAGGACTGCTGATTTGATAGTACGTCCTTTAACTGCCGCTTATCCCTGGGCCTAAACATCTTCGTAGGGAATTTAGAAGGGCTTATAAACGGAGTGGCTATATCCGAGGTGTTTTATTACCGAAATAGAAACAGCGCTTTGAAACAAGATATAGCAGTCTTAATACGTTTGGCATTTACTGGTTTTTAATTAAGCTTTAAAATGTCATTGATAATAAATCGAATTCAATAGATTTGTAAGGCGCTTAGGCCGGTTTCAAACGTCGTGCTTCTGCCGTGCCGAACTAAATTGATCGAATTAAAATCGACTTAAGCACAGAAGTAGTGCGGCGCTTGAAACCAAGTCGTGCTACTGCCGTGTAGCATGGCAAGCGTTGCCGTGCTACACGGCAGTAGCTCCACTTGGTTTCAAAGGTCGCGCTACTGCCGTGTCGAACTCAATTCATAAATCATAAATACATTAGAATACATTTAAAAGTTTCCTAACCCGTTTCTTTATTTTTGTGTTTTGTTTTAGGCAACAGCCGTTCTATTCGACTGAATTAAATTCGACCTCTGAAACCAAGTCGTGCTAGTGTCGTGCTGCAGTCGAGCTACAGTAGAGTCAGCTTAGCACGGCAGTAGCACGACGTTTGAAACAGGCCTTTCAATTATATCCGGAGGCTTGTAATCGGATGTATTTTTTGGTTTACGGGTCTATAGATTGGTTTATAACTGGAGATGGCTCATAATAAAGTGGGGGAGCTTATAGGCACGGTATCGACCTTTTCTTTTTCTGTTGCTGCAAATTAATTGACCACTCCATAAAATACCACAACATACTATCATGATCTTTGTTTGTCACCCCAAAATTTTGCATAAGCATTGTCTTCAGTTTCTATTGGGAGTTAAAATGGCCCAAGAGAAACTGAAAACAATGCTTATGCAAAATTTTGGGGTGACAAACAAAGATCATGATAGTATGTTGTGGTATTTTCTGGAGTGGTCAATTACCAGCTAAATATTTGCTTGCCTTTGGGTCTGCCCTCCGTTATCTACCATCGAGTCACCAGCCGTACCATTGTATCCTCCAATGGTAATCCTGTATTTATCTGCTTCGTCAGCTACCTGAAATGTTGTATACTCAGCGTGTGTTATGTTGCCGTCAAAGTCCTCCATGTCAACTCTTAGCATGACGTCACTAGAGGCTGTCAAACGATGAAGATTGTCGTTTCCTAGCCAGAACTCACCGTTTAGATCTCCAAACCCATTTTTGTATGATTCCCAACCCTGAAAAAAGTCAACCGAACCGTTTAAACGTCTCTGAAAGACAGTCCAACCTCCACTGTTTGTAGTCATGTCACACAGTACTTGTATTACGCTGCCACCATCTGGGATGATGTAGTAGATTCCAGTAGATGCCAAACCACTTTGACCAAGTTTAGAGCAGTCTTCTATGATGAATTCTGGAATGTAAAAGAGTCAAAAGAGTTTGGGTGTGAACTTTTTTTCCAGATAACCTTTGACAAATTTCATTATTTGGAAACTGTTTTATAACTCTTAATTCAAATGAGATGAAATAAGAGTCGTAAACTGTATGATATATGCGCACCAAGCTGACACATCGTCAAACAGTTTCTACGCCCCTTTCCAAAAATCATTGTATATTCGGACTTTTCAAACTTTCGCAGCCTTTGCGTTAAAGCCGAAAAAGTTATGACACAAAATTTGTGATAACCGAGCCACCTTAGGCCCTCTAGTACTGTCTCGATTTCTTTCATCACCCCCTCGGTTTACAGTCAACTCTCTGTTAACGGACAACTTTATTGGACGGAAATCTCTCTAAGACGGATAACGGACACTTTTGAAACCGTCAACGGACAATTGGAAAGTGCTTTATGTAGTAAAAAATACCTTAAAACGGAATTTTTGGTGCTCCATATGACAGTAAATTGAAAAATGTTTTATATTTATTAGTCTTGCTCCAGTTAGCAGAGTGCATAGTGTTAAGCTTTAAGACCACGAAGCCTTGAAACTTTTCCTCAGCCTTATTCATTAATTGCTAAATATTCTTTGGACTACGAGAAAACGTTTATCTCCCTAGCTTTAGACTGAATTAAAATAAGAACGAGTAAATGACTACTTGGGAAGAATCAGATGCTAACAGATAAATAAACAACTTCAATTCCCATTTAATGCAAAATAATCAGAATCTTACCTCTTCAAACCCCCAGTGTGGAAAAGACCTAGGGGATGGGACGTTTGTAACTTACCGCACCGTGTTCCTGTGTAGCCATTGTCACATTTACATGTAAAGCTGTCTTTGGAGTAGTCTGGGATGCAGATTCCTTTGTTGCCGCAAAGGTCCAAGTTGCTAGACTCGCAGACACTCTGTTTTAAAGGCAAGGAAAATAACTAAAGCCCCGTGCAAGCGGACACAACATTGTTGGCCAACAACTCCCAACATTGTTGGATGTTACATGTTACGTCCGTTTGCACATCCTGTTGCATGTTGTTGCGTGATGTTGGGAGTTGTTGCGCAAAGTTTGAAACCAGTCAAAATGTTGAGCCAACAACTCCCAACATTTATTTTGTTCAGTGATCGCCGAATCGTAGCGCAACAATTTTGGATCCCGTTTGCACAGCTCCTCCAACATGTTGAGGCTACGCATGCACATGTAGGTCCCAGCATTGTTGGGAGTCACTGCATCCGTTTGCACACCAACACGGACGCATCAACTCCCAACTTTGTTGGCCCAACGTTGTGTCCGTTTTCAAGTAGTTTTAGGGTTATATTAAATTAATAGCCTGCGAGCAAAGCCGTCTCTTCTCTTTCCATTCCGCTGGGGACGTTTCGCCGATGAAACGTCTGCGATTCGGCCCTCAAAATTCAGCACTGATATCAATGTTTACATCATTATGCTGGTGGTCGTGGGGTAGGAAGTTTTTTTACAACTTACAAACCTTTCGGGGATTTTTTCAAGTGCATTTTTACGATTTTGTTGCAAATATAATTCAGCATGAAAATTTTCTACCTACCAGTCAACACCGACAAGCCAAAGCTCGTTGCTCTCTTGGTATTTGTTTGTACGACTGCTTCTTTTATCGCTCAAATTTCGTCTTCCGAAAATGTCTCGAAATGAGATGAAAAAACCGAACTTTTGCCTAAAAACACAGCAAGACATGAGCAAGAACACAACTTAACGGATGTTAGTTTTGTCATTCGATCAACAAGTTTGTTTTTTAATGAATATCTTCGGAGAAGGGAAACGACAATCAGAGAATACAAATTCTAGAATACAAGCAGTGAAGATTTGATTCTTGAAATTCCTGTCAAAGATCATCTTGATTTTCTTTAAGCAGACTAACAGTCTTTGGCACTGATGTCGCAACATAAGTGGCTTGGAATGATTCTGCTGTTTTCATTACTGTCATAAAAAAAGGAAGGAGTTTTTTCTCTTCTGCAGATTGTACACTTAATAAAATCTAAAAGAAGTAAGACTTTTAGAATTATCGAAAACAGTAAGAGACAATTTCAGCACAGTTCCCTTTTTTCCAGATAGTGTTGGAAAACAGTTTTTGTATGTTATGTGTAGGTATACCACATTTACTTGTGTATAATGTGCACCCGAATATAATGCACACCCCATTTTTCTAGACAGTTTTCAAATAATATACTCAGGTATACTTGTAACTCTGAGTAGCCAAGAGCTAAACATCCCTCTATTCAGAACTGTCTCCAGACAGAGAACCTTTTATTACAGGACTGTTAAACTTTGGAACAATTTGGAATCTTTTCTTAAGGTAAGCTCATCTGTTGAAATTTTTAAACAATCCTTAAGGAGCCAGCTTTTAGATAATTTTGAAAATACTTCTTAGTTAAGTTTAAGACATTTGTAATTAGTAATTAGCTAACATTGTAATTAGTATTTGGTTAAGTGTTGTAATTAGTTATTATAAATCATGTAATATAATCATTGTTCCCGAAAAACCCCTTTGGGGAGGTAACTATAAAGTATGTATGTATGTATGTTGGCCACCTAGTAAAACAACCCCTTTGGGACAGAAAGAATCACCAACAAATACCGCAGCATAAATATTTATTAACAAATTAAAATAAAATAATATATTATAGCTCCCTAGTATATACATAACTCCAGCAGTATTATAAGTAGACATGTGAACTCCAATAAAAAAGTAAAAAAAAAAATTCTCAACAGCTTAAAAATAAAATTCATGTAATGGCATCTGTAGTTCTGTATTATGGGGTGTTTTTCCATTTATAATATGTAAATGTTCAATTGCACTATTATCTTGAGCAGTCACAAGGCTTACTTCATCAGCTCTCAGTTGTCAATAAATGGTGATAAAAAACATGATAATTCTGGTGAAGTGTCTGTCAGCTTTTAGACATAAGATTACTGAGCATCCTTGAATAAAAGCCAGATCTACTGTTAAGTATAATGAGGGTCCTGAAGGGGGGATATCAATCCCATTGAAACTGTTTCGAATCTAAAGTTAACACTACTATCAACTTCGGCAGAATTCGTACGGTCAACTGCTGTAAGCTTTTAAGCTTAAAAGTTTCGAAAGGAGTTTGGAGCGAAAGCAAGAAGATTAGGCACTGCAGCTAGCCGGCAGTTCCCACGATCAATCGACGTAGTTGCGTGGCCCGTGCAACGGAAATTTTCACTCTGTAGAAAGTTTCAGAAGTCGTGCAACGAACATGGACGTCTAAAATGTAAGCTTGGCGTTGTATACTAGACGATGTGAGCAAATTAAGGTGTGGAAAGTGAAAGTCATGCATCGCGTATCGTATCAGCAATAAAAATTTACGATACCTTGGAAAAATCCGCACTAAAGATTCATCGGAGAGTGTTTGTTTCTTGTAGCCGTGCTAAAGGTTGCAATTTTTGCGGGTTGTTAACATTTTGTTCTGAAACTTTCCTCGAGAAACTTTCCCCGTTGAACGCTCTAACGCGACTATGGCGATTGATGAGAAAACTACGTCGTGTAAGAAAACACGAGAGTCACCCGGCAGCTTCTCTTCGTTGATTGGCCAGAAAAAATTTTTTCTGGCCAATCAGAAGCAGGCAATTCAAACGCTTCTGGAACTGGTTCGGTCAGAGTAAGTGCCCAGGGGCTCGTCTCGATCTTACAGTAAACTTTCACCACAGACATTTTATCGACCCGACTAACTGCCCCTGGGTCTCCGAGGATGCTAAAGAAGTGGGCTACCAAGCTACTCGATGGGATTTGAAAGGTTTGTTGCAAAGGTTACTTACTAGCCGAATAAAGAAATGGTTTGCGCTTAGAATAAATTCGATCGCGTTTATAGTTGTTTCCTTTGGAAAACAAACACAAGAACAAACCATAAACTTTACGAAGGTCCACCGCCTTACCATTTAGTATAAAATTAAACCAAGAGACCCCAACCGTTCAAAACATTTGTTAGAGTTTAATCTTTAAAAAGGTTTTCACATCTATATAAGAATACATCGTTTCAAAATGTTATCGTAACACATTGACATCTGAAGGAATCAGATTTTTACGTTTTAGGTTTTAGTTTCATCTCAATGCGTTTCAGTGAATAGAAATGTCCTCTAAACGTGACCCATTTTGCTCCATCGGAATATTGGCCGCTATAAGGACCATTATGATACAATCCATTGGGATTTGCCGAACTACACCTGTTAAACCACCATCCTCCGGAATGTCTTTGGGCGCAGCTAATGGGACTAAGATCATTGTCTGCGTCTTTGGTTGTAAACTGCATGTTACTGTGGAGAAAATTAATTCACATATTTAGATTAGGTGTATTTTTATCCACAATAGACTTGGATGGTGCAATGTCTCTCTTGGGCTTATTCGCGTGCCTGGCCCCTTGTAAAGGAATCCAAGATAGTCTTGGATTCTGGATTCCAAGCGGAGGATTCCGGATTCCGGCTACTGAATTCCGGTTTCGTTGTCAGTGGAACTTGGATTCCAGATTACAGTCACTAGTGGGATCCAGATTGCTTGTGATATTTTCCGAAGCCCTGGATTCTGGACCCCAAAAGCAAATATTTCCAGGGTTCCGGACCCCATAAGCAAAGATTCCTCGGATTCCAACCTACCTTGCGATTTTGTTCACCTCGGAGGCATATGTCAACGAGTCACCAGCCGTACCACTGTATCCTCCAATCAAAATGCGATACTTGTCTGCTTCGTCAGCTACCTGAAATGTTGTATATTCAGCGTATTTTATGTTACCGTCGAAGTCCTCCATGTCAACTCTAAGCATGACATCTTCGGAAAATGTTAAACGGTGAAGATTGTCGTTTCCAAGACAGAACTCCTTATTTAGATCTCCAAACCCATTTTTGTATGATTCCCAGTTGCGAAAAAAATCAACGGAGCCATCTAACCGTTTTTGAAAGACTGTCCAACCACCAACGTTCGTGATCAGATCACAGATACCTTTCAGATAACCCCTTTGGGTTTAGGTTCTGAGTTTATAAGTTAATTTGGGTGTTAAAGATACATTTCAAACCGACTTTTCTAATTCTTGTTTAGAGTCACTAGGCCGCATAGAAATCTAGACAGTGGCTTATGCTCTTTTTAGATTCATTAATAAATTCTTTTGCAATGAATTATTATTGAACGTTCTTACTCGAGAAACAAAGTTTTTGTTTGCTATAAAATGACTACGAAATCCTTTAAGCCACAAATCGAGAATGGATAACATACAATCAAAAAGTAACACCCAGCCGAGGTAGCGAGGCTTTTGACACTTACCGTATGGTATTCCCCCATAACCATTGTCGCATTTACATGTAAAGCTGTCCTTGAAGTAGTCTGGGATACAGATACCTTTGTCGCCGCAAGGGTTTAAGTTGCTGGACTCGCACACACTCTGCAGAGAATACAACAAAGGTCATGGCAAACGACTCTGGAACCGTCGAGGCTATTGTTCGCGAACTTTTCAAATCTTATCATTCACTTGACTGAGAAGGAACATTGCCACCAACACGATGATGATTTTTTTTACGTGGTCGCAAACCAAGGGTCAAAACAACAAAAACAAGAACTGCAACAACTTAAAACCAACTTTTAAGTGTTAATTTATTTCGAATGAAATTTTTAATTGAATTGGGTAAAGGCAAAGCTAATTTCGTTATTCTTCAAACTTTTCTTAGAAAAGCTAACTGCTTGAGTTCAGTAAAACATCTTGCATTATTGATAATGCAAACAAGTCGTCTTTCGTGCAGGTGTAACACTTAAAAACGTTCTCAGCTTTCTCCGTTGAAGTTAACTGATTTTCAACACAAATTGCAGTGCACAAATTGGTGTACAGTTCAGACTCGCAGAGAATTGCGTTAGACCAAACTATAGAACCATCGTTTAGTTATTTTAGCTTAAATCACTTCATTTTCAATTGTTTTCGAGGTTTTTTTAATTAAAAGTTATAAAAGTTAAATGTGTTGCAAAGTTTTTCTTAACATCGTGATTTGTATCCTACTTATAATCATTAAAACGCTCATTCTTGAGAGGACATGATTTCGTGCCGTTACTTAAGATATTCTGCGTCTTAATTGTGATCCTTAACCTGGGACCACAGATGTAAAAACAAACCATGTGCGCTCAGTTTAGGTAAGATGGTGTAACAATTCCCATTATCGGTGTTGAGAGAAGAGATATTACCTCTATCCCTCTTTACTTGAAGTTGCCATCTTCTGTAAAGTTACCTGCCTCAGCAAATCTATCGGAATCACTCAATTGGCACAAGGAGCCCCCGCCTTTGTTAATGGTAATTCCAAAGTTGTAAGAACGGCATCGCTCTTCGTTGACACATTGAAGCCTGCACGCGCCTTCGGATTCCACTTCTATTGCTTGTATAACGCTTCCTTTTAACCTCCTTCCTTCTTTTGCCTTAGCAAAGTTAACAGCTTTTAAACCAGGCGTTGAAATACGGCTTATTCCAATAACATTTGGGGTAAAGACAAGTAAAACCCACAAGTGCATTTTCTAATAGCTTCTGTTTAATTCAAAATGCTTAATGAAACCCACTTTGGGAGCACCCTATTAATGCGGACACCCGCTAATTTGGACCAGTTTTGTTTTTCCTCAACTTAGAGCTCCTTGGTTAAATACATCTACTTCGTATACATTTGATTGGGAAAATGATAAATACACAAAGCCATATTCTTCTAGCCTACGAGCAAGCTCTCTTGGAGCGGAACGGAGGAAAACGCTCTACCTCCAGGTTTGCTCTCAGGGCCTAGCCTCCAAGGCAGCCGTTATGTTAGGGATTTGCCACTCGTTGCTCCCACACGAACAGGCTCGTGGGGAACGCCTGGCGAAACTGTAAGGTCTGCATGGTAGGCTAGCTCTGGCTCGTTGACATACTTTTAGCATTAGCTGACTAGCTGATAGCTTTAAGATACGAAGCTTTTCATGTGAACTCCAACTGAGCTCACAAGCCAGGTGAGCCGCCAAAAATTAGGCCTGCCGTCTGCTTATATGTCTTGCATTACTTACTATAACCAGGGGCCAGGGTTGCTAACATAAACTTCGTAGGCTTTAATCCAACCAGGTCTAACCAGCTTTTCAGATGAGTACCTTTAACCAGGCTTACTACGAAAGCCTGGGAATGCCAAACTAACCAAAAATTTTGGTTTTATATTTTGAGTGGATATCTGGTTTGCCAGAATTTCAAATTTTAACCATGCTTACCCAAAAAACTTGGCAAAACTAGGCTTACCCAGGGTTTCAGTTCCTGTTGAATCCTGGTAAGTCTGGGTCAACTAGGGTCTACCTGGCTCACCTGGCCTGGACAAGACGCGGCTAAAGTTATAATTTAAGAATATAGAGCAATATTTCTTATATGTCCCTGAATTTTACTCTGACAATAGGGATAATGTGATTTTAAAACACTCGCGCAGAATTTTCTGTCCACGAAATTCACCTTGCATGTCATAAAAACCTACAAAAGAAGAAAAACTATTCCATGATAACTAGAATGAGCTCGGGAGTACTTGGAACAGCTCAGAAACATTCAGGAGCAAGGTGAAGCCACGAGAAAAAATGGTTTCAAGTTGGGGTTAAAATAATTCAAATCCGAGTTGTATGTTCTGTCTTTGGTTGCTAATCGGAGGCCTGAATTCCTGTCTAGGAAACCCAACGGTCACACGACTGAGGACCTCCTAATTCTCGCGCCTGAATCTAGTATTACCAGTAGCAAGCGGGAAACAGCTCCAGTGAGTTCAAGCCTCCTCTTCTCAAAAATATAATTATATTCAGTTGATCTGACATATATTTCGGAAGACACTAGCAGAAATCCTGTGGGTGTTCACTCCACAGCTCTCCACAGAGACTGAGCAGTCAACGCACGTTTAGAATAACATTGGACAGTCTTGAATAAAAAGTAACTAATCTATTCATATCTAAACTATTACAACATCGAGGTGTTATGCTCTTCATTTTAATTTACACTTTGGCTTTTACCTTCATTTCAGTACGTTTGAATGAGTAAAATTGTCCTCTTAAAGTCACCCATTTTACTCCATCGCCGTATTTGCTACTATATTCTCCACCGTAATATAGGCCGTTAAGATTTGCCCAACAGCAATTGTTATGCCACCAACCTCCTTTGTGTCTCACCGCGCAGTTGATCCTAGATAAATCATTATCTCTCTCTTTAGTTGAAAATTGCATGTTACTGTCGAGAAATAAAAGAAAAGGTCTTGATCCTGCTCATCTCTCGCCCGGGAGAAAATAGCGCATCCCCCAGGGAAAACTTCGCTGTATAATTTACGGTGCGGCGCAAAGATTATATGTTTTGAGATGTTTTTGATGTTATGGTCTGAAAATGGGTATAGAATTTGCCCGATAAGGTCTGAAATTGGTTGAACCTCTGAAGTGTATAAAAGTGTAACTATGTGTTTTTCTTTTCAACTTCACTGAATGAGAGAGGAAAAGAAACAAGCTAAACCCTCCGGGGGGGGTACTGCCATATATGGGCTATATAGGTATGTGCCGCTGTGAAGGTTATGGTTTTTAAGCAGTTTACTCTAGGATAGGGTATATAAATCAGAGAGTTTGGGTCTAGAATAGGGTATCATTTTTCAGGAAACTGATCAGTTGGTTGAAGATTTTATCTAGACTAGGGAAACAGCTACTTTAGGGTAGGGGGGATTTGGGGAGTTTACTCTAGTATAGGGTAGCAAAATTTAGCTGAACTAGCTCTGGTATAGGTTAAGGGTTCCAGGGTCGCAGCGGCACATCCCCACCCAGAAATTCCTAGAGTACCCCCCGGGCTTTTACCCTTGCGAAAATTATATAATTCAAGCTGTATTTTAAGAAATCTAATAATAATAATAATAATAATAATAATAAGAAGAAGAAGAAGAAGAAGAAGAAGAAGAAGAAGGAGGAGGAGGAGGAGGAGGAGGAGGAGGAGGACGAGGAGGACGAGGAGTGTTGAATCACTCCAGGCTTTAAACATCAGTTGCAATCATACTTACTTTGCAGTTCGGGACTGTAAAGAGGTACCTGCCATCGAGTCACCAGCTGTGCCGTTGTATCCTCCAAGCAAAATGCGGCATTTATCTCCCTCGTCGGCGACCTTGAAAGTGGAATATTCAGCGTACGGAATGTTACCATCAAAGTCCTCCAGGTCAATTCTAAGTAAAACATCAGTTTTGGCTGTCAGTCGATGAAGATTGCTGTTTCCAAGCCAGAACTCACCACTAAGATCCCCAAACCCATTTTTGTAGAATTCCCAGTCGAGCTGAAAATCCACCGAGCCGTCTAAACGTCTCTGAAAAACGGTCCAGCCTCCACCTTCTGTAGTCATGTGACATAGCACTTGTATTGGCTTTCCACCATCTGGGATGATGTAATAGACGCCATTTGATGTGAATCCATTCATAGAAAGTTCAAAGCAGCTTTTCATTTCCTCTGAAAGTATATAGAAAGAGTCAGCCAGTCATACCTGGAGACCAGTTAATCCTACAAAGATCAGAGGAATTTAATCTCCGTAACTTTAATACTTTCGATCGTTGAAGACTTTTTCAGGAAGCGAACAAGGATCTTCTGAAGAAAGGTCATTTGCTAAACAACAAACTTTAAGTTCCAGGTGTCAGATTTTTAGTAGCAGGTGTAGATCGCGTAAAATTCGGCTCTTATCGATTTCAAAGTTTTTTGTTTATTGTTATCTTAGTGATATCGATTTTGCTTAATATTGCATTTTGACACCTTCAATCAATCAGTTAGTGGTGAAATACTATAGCGATCGGACAAGGATAAAATCACTTTTAATGCAATTGAAAAATATCGGCATCAGGTTCCCGAAAAATTGTATTGAAACACCTTAAGAGGGAAGTTTGTCAGTAACCCAAAAGCGAGCAACGTATGCTTGACAAAGCAAAGCACGCGACTAAGAAGGAATTTTTAAAAGTCTAAGAGACTTTTTTGCTCTGCCAAACTCGCCTATGATGTTTTGAATATATATATTTTTTTCAGACTTCGCCGAATTTTATCCCGTCTTAATCAACAAAGATCTTGACGTCCACTCTATTCGTCAAATCCTTTAATAAATTATTCAAGCGCTATGGATATAGATAGCGCTATCACACTGTGGGAGATGAGACTTTCATCCAATGGTTGAGTACTGACACCATTTCCTTTGTTACTTTAATTATTTCAGGATTCTTTCAGTCGGTGTAAGTTGTGTGTGCGCGCGCAATTTTAATGTGTGCAACTGCCTGCAACTGCTTTATTTTTTTCTTTATTTCATGTGTGCATTTAGATCGTTTTTAACGCATTGCATTTACTTCGGTTTGGTTTCATAACTCGTATATATGCATTTTCAACCTAACCATGCTAAACCATTGTGGGTGGCTCCTCACTGATCTACTATTGGTGTAGGTTTTTTGGAGCCGAAACTAACTGTGGAATTAAAAAAATTTGGGCATCTTACTGATGGACGGCTACGACTTGTAGATATTTTTAGCAGCAACAATTTGCCATCTGTCCTTTTTGAATTACTTACTGCAAGGTATCCCTACATATCCAGCGTGACACTTGCATTCAAAGCTGCTCCTGAAGTAGTCTGGGATGCAAATTCCTTTGTTTCCACATGAAAGATGGTTGCTGGACTCACAGATACTCTTTTTTGAGAATAAGGTTCTCTAAGCTCAGTTAATGTAGGCAAAAAAAGGCAAATAAAGAGTAAGAAGGGGAACACCCCATAATGATATATGAAGGCCTTATTTCACAGTAAATCCCGCTTAAGTTCAATTAGTAACAAATTGACGAGAATTCAAAAACACTTTAACTTTTTAGTGGATGGACATTTTAACATTTTTACTGTATGTTTTAGAGAGTGCTTTCAACAATGGAAAAATATTACTTCGGGCCTTCATAGGAACATCGGCTGTACTTTAGAAGAGTAGTTGCGTACCCTGAAAACGGCAAGACTATTCTTCCTATTATATTGCATGGACTCTTTCAAAAGCGCTTAGTCTTAAACTGCAAATTGCCTTTTTAGAGGATAACAAAAATAACTAGATAAATAAATGAAAACAAAAAAGGTGCTTTAAATCTTACTACTTTTCCTCCAGGTACAACATCTCTTCGACTGCCGAATGTGAGTAATATTCTGGCCGCATTATTCTCAATCAAATTAGGCTATGTCAGGCACTTATAAATGAAAAACTATGTTTTAAAATTAGTGGTAAAGTTATGCTAGATTAAGAGAAAAGCTGGTTTTCTAAACTTACAGGTCATCTGCTATGAATGTTAAAATGTGTTTAAGTATATCGGGATGCACTGTTTCACAGTATGATTTTCTGCTGAAAAGAAGCGTTAACGAGCGTTTTTAATTGGTTTGTAATAATTTTTTTTTCATAGAATGTGTGGCTCTATCTCTTCCAGTTCGGGTTCAGAAATTGATTTTAAAATTACCTTGCGCGTTTTTCTTTGGGAGCTCTGCTTTTAGGTTTGCCTGTGTCTTTCTGTAGGTACCGTCATCACAAAAGAAACAAAGGAACCAAACAATAGAGTTCTCCTGAGGGCTTTATTTTTTGGTTGTATCACTGTATTCCTCGAATAATAGCCGTCCCTCGATTAATCGCCTCCGTCGAGTAATCGCCTCTCCCCCCCCCAAAACCACCCTTTTCACTGTCTTCTCTTTTTGTTATTCCCTCCCCGTCAAGGTAAGATTGACACCTAGAGTAATGAACAAGTTTTCATTTACTGATTGTTTACAACTGAATAGTTACAAAACTAATCAGTGACGACTCAATCTCTGACACCGAGGATATTGAAATTGAACCCAAGGAAACAAACTGGAACACTTAAAAAGCCAATGTTTAGTTTATTTGAATATTTAGTGCACGACTTCCAGTGAGCAATACATGTAGTTGAAATAATCGCCACCCTCGAATAATCGCCCCCGGCTATTATTCGAGGAAATACGGTATTTCTTTTGTTGTACGTAATCTGTGCCTCGGTACCTACAGAGGGAACCGTTGACCTAAATTAATTTTATATCTTAACATTCGGGAGAGATTAGCAGGTGGTTGTATGAATTGCTTTCATTTATTTCATAGGACTCTCGACATGTATCGCCTTCTCATGCTAATTTGTCCGAAAAGCATACAACGCTTAGCCTGAAATTCATCCGATTGCTTCGAGTCGTTTTCTCCTCTCAACAACGTCTGAATCGACCAGCCGTTAATGCCGTCCAGTGACGTCACTCACTACCCGAAAACCGGGTAGTGATTTTGATTGGTTGAATGTCTAAACATTCGCATAATTATGTATAATTATGAAAAATTTTAGCGGGATTGTCGTTTGATATTCAGCGGATCGCATCCCTGGCATTCTTTCGGTTAGTTCAAACATTTCTATGAGCTTAATCTTTATCTTAAACAGCAAAATTGCCCTTGTCTTCGGAACTGAAATGTTAAATTGAACTGCGAATGAAGAATCATCGCGGAGAGTCGGTAGGTGAGTTTTCATTCAGAGCCGCTTTGTGGTTTCGGCGGCCGGTGATTTTGTTTACGCGAAGTTTTCTGAATTTTAATTCGACCTTCTTGCTATTTCACCGTCAAGTGTGATGATTCTGTTAGCTTTTCTTTCTTTTCTCCTTGTTTTTTTCTTCGTTAAGGACCAAATAGCTTCTTTTCAATTAAAGCAAATCATTTTGTTTTTGAACTAAGTGTTCCGTGTGTGTTTTTATCATGTTTTATTTCATTGCGTGATTGCGACCGAGTTTGATTATAGAATTTAGTACAACTGGTTCAGAGTTGTACCGCATGCAGTTGATTGTTTGAACGTTAAACATGAACTACAATCGAAAAAAATAAAGCAGTTCTGTATCTTGCAGACATTTCCAAACGATATTTCTCGGTTTGCCACTTGAAAATCGTGTTTTGCTTTTTGCATGAATTAAAGCAAAGGTCAAGGAGTAGTGACGTCACTGGACGGCATTAACGGCCGGTCGATTCAGACGTTACTGAGGGAGTAATAACGACTCGAAGTAATCGGATGAAATTCAGGCTATGCAACGCTTTGTTGAGTCTTAATAGTAGAAAAACGTAAGTGCTACTATGTTAATAAAAGAATGTAATTTTGGTATGTATTTGCTCTTTATTGTGGGTTCGATCTTGGAGAACTATTTAGGTGATCGAGGCAACTAAAAGATGGTCTTTTCTTCATTCTGAAGAGAAAAAAAAGCTTCTATTCAAAAGGTGTTTATCGTCCTTTTCCAAAATATTATGACTGACATTCCGGTCTCCATGTGAAAACATGAAGGTAATCAATCTTAATTTATCCGTCTAGCGTGAATTCCCCAAATCTAAGGAAACTATCTTAATCAAACAGCGGAATGATTGCCATGTTAGTCACACCTTACTACTAATAAAACAAATTCTGGAGTATAATATCAAAACAGTTTTCTAATCTTTTCCTCAAAAGGCCTTTATGGTGCTCACTCGATAAAATCACTGCAGAAAAAATAAGGGCTTTTCAGAATTTTTTTTTACCTTTAATTCTTTTTTCTTTCTTAGGCGCGATCTTTTTAGAAATAAGAAAGTGGAAAATAATGTTGACATAGCATACGAATAAGGTTTTGTTTCTTTTCCAAGCGGGATTTTCGTGATTTAGAGAAACTAGCACGATTGAATAATAATAATAATAATAATAATAATAATAATAATAATAATAATAATAATGATAATAATAATAGATTAAACTCAGCGCAGCATCTGCCATTGCAGCGATTGTTACCTGCATTCCTCTATACGTAAAATTGACATCTTCTGTAAAATTACCAAAGCCAAGAAATCTGTCGGAGTCACTCAGCTCACACACGAATGTCCCTGATTTGTTCCTTTTGTTCCCAAAGTTGTATGAGAGGCATCGTTCATCAGAGATGCATTGAAGACTACACTCATTTTCTGACATCACATCAACTTGCTTTATAACGCTTCCGTTCAATTTTTGCATCTCTTTTGCCTTAGCAAAGTTAACAGCTTGAAAATCAGGCGCTGAAATACGGCTTGTGCTGTATACAGTGGTCAAGAAAAAAACGATCAGAGTGAGCAAAAGCATTTTTGATGGGGCCGACTTCACAGAATTTTGGTTTTTCTAAAAAAATGCCAAAGAACCGATCGCCTGGATAGTTCCCTTCAAGTTATAGTCTCTTAGGCCAAAGTGTTAATTTATGATTCAGATGTAATTTTAAAAGTTCTACCCAATCAATACAGACAGGCACCTGCCGATTCTCACTTAATAGTGTTGGATGCCAAAACAATTACCGTAAAGTTCCGCTTATAAGTCCTTGGCTTATAAACTAGGGGGAGGGGGAGGGGGTGAGGCTTATATATATCCGAGGGGGCTTTTTTTTTTTTTTTTTTAAAAAAGTTACATAGCGGTGCTGACTAAAATGCTTAATATACTCTCTTTTTAAGCTTCAAAACGTCATAAAAAGTCGATTTCATTTCAATACAAGCTAGAGGGTGGCTTATATAACTGAGAGGGGGGGAGGAAGGGGAGGCTTATAAGCGGAAGTTTATGGTATGCGACTACATGTAATTTTAATTATGATTTGGGAAACATTAGGCATCTCGATCAAGGTCGTTTCGTAGTAAAAATTTCCAGCCGGGAGAGGCCTAAAGAAAGGCTCGCCGTTTTGAATAAAAATGGCTCTTGATTCGTCAATTAAAAGCCGGAATTTGTATAGACTACGAGTAGTCCCCTATTTTTCCTCAGGGATAGTTTCACGGGTGCTCGCGTTTCGCTCGCTCTACTATCCCTGAGGAAAAATGGGGGACTACTCGTAGTCTAGAATTTCTATGGACTACAAGTTATTAGGTTCGGCTCATGAAAGGTTGACAGACGATTAAAAGCGTCTGTCAGTTTGTGTTACTGTTAGCAGAGCAACAGTTAAAGGTCAAGATCTTCAAAAATTTAAACACAGAAGTCACCCGCCTTGTTTAGTCAACAAACAATAAAAATTGGGTAGCTTTCTAAATCCTAAGTGATTATAGATCGCGAAGATAAAGTGATTTTTGCTGCCAAAACGTTGTTGACCAGACTAGTAAGACTACATTGACGGAACAGTGTTTGTAGCTCGCTAATTTTGCCTGACCTCATTGTTTAAGCGCGGATAATCGCACACTGTTTATCGTTTATCGTTTTAGCAGAAAATTGAAAACTGCAAATAGGTGATCTGAACTCAAACTGTGAGACACCTCATTTGTAGCCCTGTGGAACAGGTGCTATTAACAGGCATTCAGAATTTCTTAATACTAGTTTAGAAGAGTCTAATCACTATTTTTTAATGAGTATCCAAGTAATATGAGTAATATATGTTTACTGTTCGCCTTATAATTTGCGCGTTACTCATACATTGAGTCAAAGCAAGCCTAGAAAAACAACCTATGGACCACACTCTTTTTCTTATTTTTCCGCCCAACAGTGGAACGATCTTCCCGACGAATTAAGGAAGTGTACTTTTAATGATTTTAAGCGACGAGTGCAAAGTCTCAATACGTTTGATTAGTTTTCACTAACTTTTTGTCTGTATTTTATTTTCAGCTTTAAATTATCTTAATTTGTTTCTGGAAGATATTAGCTATATAGTTTAGCTACTCTAGGTTATGTATGTATGTATGTATGTCTAGCCGGATTTATGAAAAACCGTACCATCGGACTCCTGGAGCCCACACACCTTAAACTGACTCAACTAAAGCAAATATCGCCAAGAAACTCAGTTCTTACCCATGGTTATCTTAAGGTGACTCTCTTCCTGGTTCCTGATTAGCAAAATAAACATTCAAGTCCATCAAAAAGACACTCTGGCCTTGGCCTTACACTCTAGCTGCTTAAAGGTCCTAAATGACTGAGGATGCTTGAGACTGAACCAAGTTCTAAGCAGAGAATTCAAGGTTAAATCACCCCCCCGACTTCCCCCCCCCCCCCCCCCCCAGCCTAGCAGGTGCTTGAGGGGAATGCTTTCATTGGCCAATGGGCCTCAAACATTACACGAATTTGACATGACAAACTAAAGGCAGACATGACCAGTACACTTACTCTCCCTGAGCAAGACTAACGGAGGGTACCACGCTTTTGTAGCACCCTCCCCGCCTAGGGATTGACATGGAGGCCCCTTTCCAACCCATGGCGAGTTAGCTCAGGCATAATGAGACCAACCAGGACAGCAAGCCCCCTATGTTTTTTCTCACCGCAGTGACCAGAAACCTGGCTATCGCCAGGTTCCTGTGCGAATATTGTGACCCGTTTTGAGGTATGTTTTCAAAAATTCGGCTAGCTGTATGTATTGACTTGCAATCGCGTCCGCTTCGTGCTAGTCTGAAAATACACTAAAAGCTAGGGCCTGTCCTGCAGACTAATTAATTTGTAAAATGCGGTTGCCTTATTGCGAGGGCAGAGGTATTTCCGGTCGTCTCTTTTATCTGATTCCGATAAGAAAGCAAATCAAATGATAAATTACATGCATTATATATTTTACTTCCCCAGGAGTCTATTTCTGTGACTTACCCCAACATATACCTGCATGCCGGCTCTTGAACAATCTACCACCTCTTGTTTGGAAGGCCTTTGATTGTAAAAATTTCGTTGCCAACCTGAAAAAACGTACCCTGCTGGACCAAGACGAGTGTCGCTGCAATCTCTACTCTAGTTAGTTTTCCTAGTTGTTAAGGTGGCCCGAACCTCTATTTATATGCGTTTTGGGTTGGTCATGTTTTTGTATTAAGTTTTTGGGCAGAAAAGATTTAACCGATTTCTACGATTTTTGGCATCTTTAATAAAGAATAATTGAACTTTAAGAAAATCTTATTGATTTCCTTGTAGGTACAAAAGCGTTTGAGATATCTGCCTCTATTGAAAACCTCGTTTTTACAAAAGATGTAAGTAACTCCGAAATCCCACTACAGATTTCCCCCTTAATCATAACTATGACAAAATTCTTAAATCTGATTGGCTATCAACTGCCCTGATTTCAGCCTTAATAGGACAAAACGCGTCTAACTCACTCTAACTAAGCTCACAAGCTAATTTAGCCCACGAAAAACCAGGTCTGCCGTCTGCTTATATGTCTTGCATTACTTACTAAGCAGGGGCCAGAAGTAAACGCACGTTTAGAATAACAGTGGAGAGTCTTGAATAAATTTGAATTTTTGAATAATGCCCTCCTCCTGCCCCAGGGAGAGACATAGTAACTAATCTATCCATATCTGAATTATTTCAACATCGAGGTGTTATGCTGTAGATGTTATTTTATACTTTCGGTTTTACTTTCATTTCAGTACGTTTGAATGAGTAAAATTGTCCTCTTAAAGTCACCCATTTTACTCCATCGCCGTATTGGCTGCTATATTCTCCGCCGTAATATACGCCATTGAGATTTGCCCAAGAGCATTGGTTATACCACCATCCTCCTTTGTGTCTCACCGCACAGTTGACGCTGGATAAATCATTGTCTCTCTCTTTAGTTGAAAATTGCATGTTACTGTCGAGATATAAAAGAAACAGTCTTGATAATGCTCATCTCTCGCCCGGGAGAAGATAGCGCATCCCCCGGGGAAAACTTCGCGGTATAATTTACGGGGCGGCGCAAAGGGTATAATTTTTTGAGATGTTTTGGTCTGAAAATGGATATAGAATTTGCCCAATAAGGTCTGAAATCGGGCTTGATTTTTTATTGAACCTCTAGAGTGTATAAAAGTGTAAGTATGTATTTTTCTTTTCGACTTCAGTGAATGATAGAGGAACAGAAAAAAGCTAATACCTTGCGAAAATTATATAATTCAAGGTAAATTTTAACAATTACAGACTACTACTACTACTACTACTACTACTGCTGCTGCTGCTGCTGCTGCTGCTGCTACTACTACTACTACTGACAAGCCGTCATTTTGGAGTTGTTTAAATTCGATGAGCGACACTTTCAACGAAAATGTTCCTGCCCCAATCTCGGAAGAATCATGGCTTCACCATTTCAAATCTCTGCATTCTATTGACCCGACGAATTCCACGCATGAACATGAAATCCATAGGGAACTAAATTCTTTAGAACACGAAATTGAACAGTTTGCCTATCTCGATTATGAGATAACTGAGAGGGAAATACGTCAAGCGGCGAAGAAATTGAAAAATAAGAAATCACTATTTGTTGACAAAATACGAAATGAAATGATCAAAGCAAGCCTCGAACCACTAATGCCTGTCTATGTCAAACCTCATTTTGCAATCCGGGAAAAAAGGCCGGATGTTTGGTGTCAAGGCCTCATAACCCCAATTTACAAATCTGGTGACAAGAGTGATCCAACAAATTACAGAGGCATATGTGTTTCTAGTTGCCTTGGAAAACTGTTCTGTTCTATTTTAAATCGAAGACTTCACTTGTATTTTTTGTTTATACTACTACCCACAAAGGTTTTGTAATTTTCACATGTAAGTATTTCAAATTAAGCTGAAATACCACTGCTCCAAGCCAATCAAATTGCAGAAATTCCCACGTAGTAGTATAATGAGGAAAATAAGATATTACATAATTCCCAAATTGGCTTTTTGCCTGAAAACCGCACTGCAGACCATGTTTTCACTCTAAGGACCCTAATAGATAAATATGTGCATTATCACAAGGAAAAAGTCTACGCTTGGTTCGTAGATTTCCGCAAAGCGTTTGACTCTGTTTGGCACGAAGGATTGTTTTATAAGCTGCTAAAAACGAATATAGGAGGAAACTTGTACAACCTCATGAAAAGCCTTTATTGCAACTCGACATGTTCCATCAAAATCGATGAAAACAAAACACAACCTTTTTCATATTCCAGAGGTGTACGTCAAGGCTGTATTTTAAGCTCTCCTTTATTTAACCTCTATTTAAACAATCTAACACATTTATTCGAAAACACCTTATCTGACCCATTTGTTCTTCCAAATGGGAAAAAAATAAATTCACTTTTGTACGCATATGATTTAGTTATTCTATCAAGATCGAAAACTGGATTACAGAACTTTTTAAATTCGCTTTCCTTGTATTGTGACAAATGGAAGCTAAAAATTAATCCGAAGAAAACAAAAATTATGATATTCCAGAAACGCCCAAAAAAATCTATTGACATCAATTTCAACATAGGCAGTGTGTCAATTGAAATTGTCTAAGAATACATTTATTTAGGTACACGTTTAATCCCAACGGGAAACTTTACACTTGCACTCGAACACTTAAAAGAAAAGGCCCTTCACGCGTTTTCTAGTATTCGGAAGCGGACAATTCTTAACAAACTTAATCCTAATACTGCATCCCAAATTTTTGACACAATGGTATTCCCAATCTTGAGTTACAAGAGCGAGGTATGGGGAATGTGCACCAAGCAAGATTTTAAAAAATGGGATATCTCCCCAATAGAAAAAATCTTCCTCAAATTCTGTAAACGTTACTTAGAGGTTAACAATAAGACCTCTAAGATACCCTACAGAGCTGAACTTGATAGACTGCCGCTGCTTATCCCGATAAATCAGAAAATTATGAAATATTTTGTTTACTTCAACAACAAAGATAATGACTCTATAGTCAAACAGTCTTTGCTTATGTCAAAGAATCTACATTCTATGAATAATTCAGGATATTTTTCCAATTTCATAAACATGTTTGAACAATACAATCTAACCAGTTTAGATGCTGAATCTCTAGACAATGATAAAATTAGACGATATACCACAGAAATGAGAGAGAAATATTTATCTTTTTGGCGGCACAGCCTTGAAAATTCAAAAAAACTAAAATTTTATAAAACTTTTAAAGATGAATATTCTACATCTGATTATCTCTACCAGCTAAGCCATTATGACGAACGACAGAATTTTGTTAAATTTAAAATAAGTAATCACAAACTTATGATTGAACATGGTCGATACCAAATCGATCATTTGCCAAGAGAAAATAGATTATTTCCCTTATGTAACTCAAATCAGGTAGAAGATGAGATTCATTTCCTCTTTCTATGTAACAAATACTCAGTATAGAGACAGGCATTTATTAATCAAATCAATCGAATAACACCTGACTTTGACAAGAAATCATCTCCAGAAAGCTTAAAACTGATAATGAATTCTAAGGCACATCATGTAAATAAGTTAGTTATGAAGTTTGTTTCCTCCTGTATGAAAATACGTGATTCATTGTTAGTAATGTAACTGAATTTTTCTAGATTATTATTAGTGCTGTTTGTTTTATATTTTGATTGTCATAAGCATGCTTTTGCAATACTGTAAAATGATGCGGTCATGCAAATAAAGCAATTTATTACTTATTACTTACTACTACTACTACTACTACTACTACTACTACTACTACTACTACTACTACTACTACTACTACTACTACTACTACTACTACTACTACTACTACTACTACTACTACTACTACTACTACTACTACTACTACTACTACTACTACTACTACTACTACTACTACTACTACTACTACTAATACTACTACTACTAGCACCACCACCACCACCACCATCACCACCACCGCCGCCGCCGCCACGACTACTACTACTACTACTACCGTGACTACCACTACCACTACCACTACCACTACCACTACCACTATCACTACCACTACCACTGCCACTACCACCACCACCACCACCACTACCACTACTACTACTACCACTACTACTACTGCAACTACTACTAATAGTAGTAAAGGAAGAGGAAGAGGACGAAGAGGCATTCTGAATAACTCCAGTTGCAGTCATACTTACTTTGCGGTTTTTGACTGTGAAGAGGTAACTGCCATCGAGTCACCAGCCGTGCCATTGTATCCTCCAAGCAAAATGCGGTATTTATCTACCTCGTCGGCAACCTTGAAAGTGGAATATTCAGCGTACGTAATGTTACCGTCAAAGTCCTCCAGGTCAATTCTAAGTATAACATTAGCGTTGGTTGTCAGTCGATGAAGATTGTCGTTTCCAAGCCAGAACTCACCGCTAAGATCACCGAATCCATTTTTGTAGAATTCCCAGTCGAGCAGAAAATCCACCGAGCCGTCTAAACGTCTCTGAAAAACGGTCCAGCCTCCACCTTCTGTAGTCATGTCACATAGTACTTGTATTGCCTTGCCACCATCAGGGATGACGTGATAGACGCCATCTGATGTGAATCCATTCATAGAAAGTTCAAAGCAGCTTTTCATTTCCTCTGAAAGTATATACAAAGGGTCAGCCAGTCGTTCTTAGATACCAGTGGAACCTTCTTCATAACGATCATATCTTTTGTTCCAAAAGAGCTGAAAAAGGTTATTTGCTAATTAAACACTACACTTTGAGTTCCTGGTGTCGCATTTTTAGTTGCTGGACTAGACCGATTAGAATTCGGCTTTTATTGATTTCAAAGTTTTTTTTATTGCTGTCATAGTGATATCGATTTTACTTAACACTGCGTTCAAGTGTTGAGGCGTGGTGTTGAGTTTAAGGTCTTTCTTGATGTCACAGCAGTTACTTTGAATGCACATGCAAGTGATGCAACAATAATTATTACATTCGATTCGCAAGCAAACGTAATTCACGTACACAAGTACTGTACTAAATGGAAGACTTTTCGATTCGCCTTGCCGACCTGGAATCTTTTTAGCCAGGAAAATATAAGTAGAACCTGATCTCAGCTTAGTGTGGGACAAGGTTTCGGTAAGGTACTAGTGCTAGCAAAGTCTAGAAATCGCTTCAGGTTCATTGCAGTGCATGGTTTTTATACTTTTATACTTTTCCAAGTATGTTACGTTACTTATCATCCGATAGCTTCAATAAGCTTTAAACTCCAGTGGAATTTTTCCATTTCATATCAACGGCCTTTGGTCATTGAAAACGGATTGAATATTCGATTGAATAAAGACGTCGTGCATGACAGCTGTATACACGCATTACTTGTGTCACGCATTGCTGTTTCAGTGCCGGGTTCAATGTATCTTTGCCGGCGAATACAAACGTCTCTCCTCGCTCCTTACTATTCGCAGGTTAATTGTATCTAAGCAAATGCGAATAAAATCGTTGAATTAAACTGATGAGCCTGGTTTACTGTGTTGTTCAATCCAGTTTTCATGATCCGCGGTGATTCCTTTTGTTGACGCCATAACTACAGGGCATTCACATTCATATGAAAGCGGTTTTCGCCCACACCTCCTTGCTAACGGCTACTGCCAGTTTACTTTTTTAATTTTCTGGTGGATTTAGATCTATTTTAACGCACTGCATTTACTTTGGATTGTTTTCCTAACTCATGCATGTATGCCTTTTCAGTGTGCTAAGCTATTGTGGCTCCTCCTAACATGATATACGATTGAAATAGAATTTTTTGGGGGCCGAAACCAAGTATGGAACAAAAAAAAAACGTTTTAGGCATCTTACTGATGGACGGCTACGGCTTGTAGATATTTTTAGCAGCAACAATTTGCTAGGTGTACCTTTTGAATTACTTACTGCAAGGTATTCCTACATATCCAGCGTGACACTTGCATTCAAAGCTGCTCCTGAAGTAGTCTGGGATGCAAATTCCTTTGTTTCCACAAGGAAGAAGGTTGCTGGACTCACAGATACTCTGTTTTGAGAATGAGGTTCTTTAAACTCAGTTATTTAATGTGGGGAAAAAGAGGCAAATAAAGAGTAAGAAGGGGAGACGCCCATACTGATATACAAAGGCCTTATTTCGTAGGAAATCCCGCTTAAGTTCAGTTAGTAACAAATTGGCAAGAATTCAAATTTGAAAACGTTTTAACTTTTGAGTGGATGGACATTTTAACATTTTTAATGTTTTAGAGAGTGCTTTCCTTCACGGTAACATCTCCTGTGCCTTAGAAAACTAGTTGCGTACCTTGACAACGGCAAGACTAGTTTTCCTATTATCTTGCATTGACTCTTTCAAAACCACATAGTCTTATATTGCGAATAGGCCATTTGCATGATGGCGTCATTTTACTACTACGACCAGAATCCTTTTCGTTTTTCCTTTCATATTCTAATTTGGTAACCCCAGGGAGGTTTCGATAACAAAAGCCCTAATTTGCACAAGAAAGTAAAATCCTGAAGGATTCTGGTCTTAGTAGTAAAATTACGTCATCGTGCAAATGGGCTATTAATTTAAACTCAGTTGTCAGTTTATTTTCCTCTAGATACAGCATTACTTCGAAGGCCGAATGTGAGTAATATTCTGGTCGCATTATTTTCAAGTTTTGGGGTGCGTTTTTTTTACTAAAATCCAAAACCAGATTTTTAATCCGAAAACGGATATTTCGTTTCTTTACTAAAACCCCAAAACGGATTATTGATCCAAATGATATTATCGATCCACAACGGAGGTGAATTCCTTGGATCATATCCAAACCCGGATACTTTAAATACATGATCCGAAGCGTTCCTTTACTACGAATTCGACAAGAGTGAATACAGCAGCTGTTTGACAACACTACTCATCTTCACGGCCATCTCTCGACTCGAGGCATGGTAAACGATCTATTTCATCCGTTTTATCGGGATAGTAAAATCGCAGTACAAACAGGACCTGCATTGCTATAGTTCACGAGGACAAATCGAGACAAAACTACTCCTCAACTTCGCCTGCGAGTCTGGCAACATTTAACGTTCTTTCCAGTAGATATCTTCTTTTTAGGCTCATCTTTAAGCGATATCCTAGAGCTCACCGTCCAGAACACAATGAAGGATCAGCAAATTTGCAACGTTATCAGCAGCCGTGTTGTTCTATCTCCAGGATACCGTCCATATTGTGATAGTAGAAATGAATGAGAAATTATCGTTTTTTGGATCCATCGTTTCTTTTCTTAACGAAAAACCCTAATGATCCGGATTTTTTATCCGACCTCGAATTTTAGTAAAGAAACGCACCCTTAATTTCAGGTTATGACAGGCACTTTTAGATGTACAGCTGTGTTTAAAAATTAGTGGTAAAGTTTTGCTGGTAAGAGAAAGGCTTTTTTTCGAACTTTACTGGTCATTTTTTATGAATGTTTTAAAAAATGTGTTAATGTATATCGGGTTGCATTGATTTACAGTATGATTTTCTGCTAGAAAAGAAGCGCAACGAGCGTTTTTAATTGGCTTGCATGTAATAATTTTTTCCATAGCATGTGTGGCTCTCTCTCTTCCAGGTCCGGTTCACGAATTGAGATGGCTGTATTTTAATTATGTTACACGCTTTCCTTTGGGAGTTCCGCTTTTAGGTTTGCCTGGGTCTTTCTGCAGGTACCGTCATCACAAAAGAAACAAAGGAACAAAACAATAGAGTTCTCCTGGGGGCTTTATTTTTTGGTTGTATTATTTCTTTTGTTGTACGTAAACTTTACCTCGGTATGTACAGAAGGAACTATTGGCCTAAACTAATTTATATCTTAACATTATGGCCCCAGTTTTTCAAAAGGTGGATGATACTATCCATCGGATAAATCACTATCCACTGGATAGAGATTTATCCGCTGGATAGCGCTATCCACGGTTTGAACAACTGGAGCCTGGAGAGATAAGCAGGTGTTCGTGTAAATTACTTTCATATATTTCACAGGACTCTCGACATGTATCTCATACTCATGCTGATTTGTCCAAAAAGCATGCAACGCTTCAAAGTCTTAATAGAATAACAAATTAAATGTTACTATGTTAATACAATACATGCTATATATATATTTGCTCTTTATTTTGGGTTCGATCTTGGAGAATTCTACAGGCAATCGAGGGAACTAACAGATGGTCTATCTTTTCTTCATTCTGAAGACAAAGAAGAAAAAGCTTCTATTCGAACGCTGATCATCCTTTCCCAAGATAGTTTGACCGATTTTAGAGTGTCAATGTGAAAACAGATCGGTAATCAGTCGTACTAAATGGGTCCGGATTATTCCGATAATGTTATATTTACTAGCGTGAAATCGCCCAGCATTCCAAGGTAGCTCTCTCAATCAAATACCGGAATCATTGTCATCTCAATCACACCGTAATAATAATTAAAAAACAAATTATATATAGCATAATATTAACAGTTTTCTCAGCTTTTCATCAAAGAGCTTTGCCAGTACTCACTCAAAGAGACCACCGCAAAAAAATTACAACTTTTTACAAATTTTGATTCTTGGGGAACAATGTAGGTAATTGAGGCAACTAAAAGATGGCCTTTTCTTTATTCTAAAGAGAAGAAAAAAATGCTTCTATTCGAACAGTGATATTCCTTTCCCAAAATAGTTTGACCGAATTTACGGTGTCAATGTGAAAACAGATCCGTAATCAGTCTTACGTAACCAGTCCGGATTATCCTGATTATGCAAGTTATATTATCTCTAGCGTGAAATCGCCCAGCATTCTAAGGAAACTCTCTCAATAATCAAATAAGAGAATCATTCTCATCTTAATCACACCGTAATAATTATAAAACAAATTATATATTGCATAATATTAACGGTTTTCATCGAATCGTTTTGCCTGTACTTACTCACTCGAAGAGACCACTGCATAAAAAATTAGAGCTTTTCACAAGTTTTGATTATTTTAAATTCGTACCTTTGGCGCGATATTTTTAGAAATAACACAGTGGAAATTAAGCGGAATTTCCTGTTTAAAGGAAAATAAGACGGTTTAATAGTTATTAAAAAAACTTATACACTGTACTGATGTCGTAGCGATTGTTACCTGCAATCCTCTGTAAGTAAAATTGTTATCTTCTGTGAAATTACCAAAGCCAAAAAATCTGTCGGAATCACTCAGCTCACACACGAATGTCCCTGATTCGTTTCTTGTATTCCCAAAGTTGTAAGAGAGGCACCGTTTATCCCCGACGCATTGAAGACTACACTCATCCTCTGACATCACATCAACTTGCTTTAGCACGCTTCCGTTCAACTTTCGCCTTTCTTTTGCCTGAGCAAAGTTAACAGCTTGAAAACCGGGCGCTGAAATACGGCTTGTACTGTATACAGTTGTGAAGAAAAAAACGATTAGCAGAAAAAACATTTTTGATGGTGGGGTCGGTTTCTCTTTCGCTCTTTTAAAAATAACGTTTTGCCAAAGAACCGGTTGCTGGATTTAGGTTCCCAGACTAAGCTTCTATGATCCAAATGAAATTTCCATATGTCTGTCCAATCAACAAAGACACCTGCCGATTTGCATTGAGTAGGGTTCGCTTCGGGGCCAAAAAAATTAATAAAATTGATGATACATGTATGGGTATCCATATTTTAAAACTCGTGAAAAGATAGAAAATTGGATTAAAAGTATTTCGTAGTCGAGGTTTCCGGTCTAGTGGAAAACGATATAAAAGTAAATGTCCTCAAGAATACTCGACTGTCGATAAAGAACGACGCGCAAACCTTTTATCGAGGAAATCCTGGTTTAGTGTAGAATTAATCGCCTCCTTGTTTCTTATCTAATCCGCAAGGAAGGTCGACTTAATTCTTCGTAATTATCACAGTATTTTTAACAAAGAAGTTTAAGGCAAATTTAAGAGGTGATTTTATAGCTTCGTGTTGTATTGCTAACTAACAGAGTGTATTAATTTCAATATCAATACATGATTTGAAACGTTATTTCATTGCAGAAATGGCGATGTATTAATTATTTTTGGTAACAGGTTTTCCGTACCTAAAGCATAGTATCTTGAGAACTACAGAATCTCGTCATAAGCTTTTGACAAAAAAACTTTTCTTCCTCAGAATCTCGTCTAGTCTAGGCTGCTAACTTGCGTTGGAGACCTTTGAAGTAAATATCTTCATGACAACACTGAAGGTGAGGATCTCCGGGTCTCCGGGTCGTTGTTCCCTTCAAAAATTTGCCTATGTTCCCTTGTTCCTGCTGTTATTCTTAATTAATTTGTTCCCAGCTTTTCTACTATACGACCCTTACCCGCTCCCTCCGCAACACCAACACCGCCAAAAGGTGGAAAAAAAGATTAACAAAAAGATTAAAAACATACCGCAAAGCATTTTAGTACTTGGGCATTTAATGAACATACAATTTTTATGTTGTGCGCCAAACTAACCTGCTGTGATTCTTAAACATGTTATAACTATTTCAACAGTGAAACAAGCAAGGCTGACTGTACAGCTATGAGACCATATTTTTCCAATATTTCGTCAGGTATGGCCTGACTCTTTCAGGGAATGGATAAAAGGAAGTTCGTTGCAATTTAAAAAGCAAGAAACAAATGGATATCATGATAACGAAAATACAGAAAGGCTCTATAAATTAAAGGGACAGGTTCACGGTTCAGCGAACGCACATTAATCAAAATGCTGTTTTTCTGCCAGGGCATGCTGTATCGTCTATGCAGGCAATATGATCATGTCATAATGTTGTCAAAGAAAAGAAGTCTGCACACTCTCCTGGTAGTCACTTGATCACCTTAGGTGCAAATAGCTGTAAATTAATCAAACATGGAATAAAACCTTCGGGTCAACGAAAATTCAACGTTGGTAGTGTTGGCATAATCCACTAATTTATTCTGCGATTTTAGCACTCCTCCATCCTACTTCAGGCTACTCTGAAATACATTTCTAGTTTGAAATACACTCTGAGATCGCTGAGATATTTGTAAGTGGGATTATTAACCGATAGAATAAATAATAAATTGGATAAAAAGTAATTTAATTAATGAGCATGCGCTGAACCGTGAGCCTGTCCCTTTAAAGAAAAACTTTGGAGGCAAATAAGGCGCATTATGGGAATTGTGGAAGTGGCTTATTTCCCGGTCAATTTGCGCTAGCAGGCTCATTATTGGCAAGTGAACAATTTTCATCTGGTTCTTTGTGGATATGCTTAACTATCTTATAATTTTCCAATATAGTTTTTGTGACGTCATCACTTTTCTTCTCCATAGAGAACTTGATGGATAAGGTTTACAATAGACGTGAAGAATATTCTTATTCTTATATCTTATCTAGATCGCTACTGTTTTCAGCACTTTTTATTGAAATCATATATTATTTTCCTCAAAATCACGTCCGGTCGCTACGCGGGTGTCGAAAATGGGGTAAACCATTAGAAAAACTGTAAAAACAGTGTTATGGGTCAGTCTGCTAAACATGGATAATTTATCAATATCTGAATTGCTACAACACAGACACGTAAGACTGTACACTGGTGTCAGTTTACACTTTAGGTTTTACTTTCATCTCAATACGTTTGAATGAGTAATCATGTCCACGTAGTGTGACCCATTTTACTCCATGGGCGGTTTGGTTGCTGTATTTTCCACTGTAATATACGCCATTAACATTTGCCCAACTGCAGTCGTTATACCACCATCCTCCTTTTTGTCTCACCGCACAGTTATCGCTGGATCCGTCATTATCCGCGTCTTTGGTTGTGAATTGCATGTTGCTGTCAAGAAATAAAGAACAGTCGTGATCGGCGCATCCACCGAGGGAAAAAATAGTGCATCTCCCCGGGGGGACAATTCCCTGTATACTTTAAAGATCTGTGTCGATTTTTCCATGTGTAATTATGATAATATTTTGTTCTTATTATTTAAGTGAGGGAGGCCATTCCTTATAAGCCCGGTGGTTTCTCTTGTGCTTCCTCGCCATGAGAGTTTAAATAATTAGATTTCCTTGCTTTTGTACAACTTATGGCAAAACAATAAACTGAACGGAACTGAATTGAACTGTACTTTCCAAAGTCTGACCATAGGGCATAGTTTTTGAGACTTTTTGTTCAGAACACACGTACACTGAGATTTTCCCCGGGTTTAGATCTCAAAAGGAATCGGTGGAGTGTGTTAACGTATACTTATTAAAAGAAAGGTAGACAGATAATCGAAATATATCATGTTAACAAATGTATCATTACGCTCATTTAAGGAGATATGTCGTGTGTGTATCAAATGAAATACACCACAAAAGAGAGCGTAGGGCAATTTAAGTACACTGTCATTTCTGCTCAGCTGATTGGCTTCCTGATTGCAGAACGTAATTTTGCGAAGAGATATAAACAATGGTTTGAATTAAGGTCTTGATTTGGACAAATGAGCATTACCGAACCAAGAATTTGTAGCTCATCCTCTCAGCGGAAGATGATGTGATTCCTTTCAAGGAAGAAAGTAGTGCGGACGAGTGCTTCTATAGTCCGCGATACAGACGTACTTGAAAAAATATATTTCCGGCGCCCAACAAGCTTTAACAATACCATATATGTTCTACAGTCTCTGTCCGGCTAAGGGCCTGAATCCAAGAAAATTTTGCTGGTGGGATCCGAGATCCGGGATTTTTTACTTGTGGAATCTGGAATCCTGGGCTTTGGAATCCAGAATACAGCCAAAGAAATCCAGAATCCCACTAACGACTGACATCCAGTTCCACCTGAGGAGGAGGAGGAGGAGGAAGAGGAAGAATGTTAATAACTCCAGTTGCAGTCATACTTACTTTGCGCTTCGGGACTGTTCAGAGGGACTTGCCATCGAGTCACCAGCTGTGCCACTGTATCCTCCAAGCAAAATGCGGTATTTATCTCCCTCGTTGGCGACCTTAAAAGTGGAATATTCAGCATACGAAATTTTACCATCAAAGTCCTCCAGGTCAACTCTAAGCATGACATCACGGGCTGCTGTTAAACAGTGAAGATTGTCGTTTCCAAGCCAGAACTCACCGCCCAGATCACCAAACCCATTTTTGTAGGATTCCCAGTCGAGCCAAAAATCCACCGAGCCGTCTAAACGTCTCTGAAACACGGTCCAACCTCCACCATCCGTAGCCATGTCACAAAGCACTTGTATTGGCTTACAGCCATCTGGGATGATGTGATAGACGCCATTAGAAGTGAAACCATTCTGAGCAAGTCCAAGGCAGCTTTTCATTTCCTCTGTAAGTAATTAGAATCTAATTAATATGAATACAAGGTTTGATTGAGATACGTTACAAGTTGACCACCGTAAAGGCGTCCGAGTCGTCCACAAGTTAATAACGAGCTTAAGCAAAGGCGTTTCTGGGCGACACACGTCAACCGCAAGCGATACCTTTTCTCTTTTAATTTGCCTGGACGGTATCATCTACATTTGAAGGCAAAGTGTCTTTAAAACATCTAAACCAAAGATTGTATGGTTGCCTGCGTGCGGACGTCTCCTATTTCCTTTGTTGCACGCGGAAAAGGGACGTCTGCGTAGCGCCGTCGCTAATCGTGTTCCAGTGTCCCGCTAGCAAGGTATTCTATTTCGCATAAATTGTGAAATAATATTCGGTTAGAAATAAGAGTTGACAGGCCAAGCTCGTGATAATGCGAAACGTGACCTTGAGAGTCTGCTTGAACAGTGGTTTTTCTTCTTTTCTCTCTCGCGCGAAGGTTACTAGCACTACACAGTGCACGTAGCAATCTAAACTTTGACTGAATAAATCTTGTTTTTGCCGCAAGTCTTAGATTTAGAGGTCATGAAGCTGGTTTGTTACGTGCATACTGAGTAATCATTTCCTGTGGTTTATGCTTCTGTGGGTGTTCCTGATAGGATTTGATTTCAAAGGCAGTTGTAAAGTGTTTAAATTTTCTTTGACCTCTGTTTGTTACGGCTAAACAAAGATTTTAGTTTCTTTGGCTGGCTTTCTCCTAAATGGTTGCCTGGTGCGAAGTCCACGCCGCTTCTGTAGTTTTCTCAGACACTGTTTACAAATATGATGTGATGTGTCATGCACAGTAAATTGTAAAGAAATACTTTCCTCGCACACGTTAAATTTTCAGCGGCCTCGCACAAGATTTCGAACGGTCTGCACACGATGGCACATGTTTTTATTTGTTTTGGCTGGAAAACCCCGATTACATAAATCACCGCATAAATTATCAGACCAGATTCGATAACAACCTATCAGCGTTAAGTCAAACAATGCGCACTGTGTGTCAGCCTATTACAGCATGTTCCCAAGATCTTGGGAACCCAGCGGGACGCTGGAACACGATTAGCGACGGCGTTGCGCAGACGTCCCTTTTCCGCGTGCAACAAAGGAAATAGGGGGCGTCTGCACGCAGGCAAATTGTATGGTGACATTTTTTGTTTTTAAAAATTAACCTTATTCGCACTGGAAACTGTTTACTCTTATCAGGCCGTTTGCATGTGACAACACTTGCATTTTTGAAAGAAAAGTATAATTGCTTACATGAAATGATTGACAAGAAAAACGCATTTTTGTTTATTTAGCCGATTTTGTCCAGTTTGTACCCGGAGGAAATGTGCCCGCGGCGCCTTCGAAGATAGTACCGACTGGGACAATAGAAGTTTTAAAATCGCGACAAACTATCCGCATTTATAAAAGCGTTGGTGATTACAGAAAATTTGTCTAAATAAACAGCTTTTTCGCTAGTGCAGATAGGCCTAATAGTGACCTTAAGATACCCTGGACGCGGCTTAGGAGGACGGCAATTGGAAGTAAATTCGCAAAGTCTTGAATTTAGTTTGCAAAAATGTCACGCCACTGGACGGCCTCCACCTCAGTTGCGGTGGCGACCAAGTTCATTTTGGCGGCCTCTCAGAAAGGTGAGTTAGTTTTGCAACTTTTTCCCTTAAAAAGCATGATTTGCACAACATTTGTAAACCTTTATATAAGGAAATAGATTCCTAAATTGTTTGGTTCAATTTTGTTTTCATAATTCAGGTTTTAGCGTGTTTATAGAGGGAAAGTTGAGCATCGAGTCTTCAGAAAGAAATCCGAAAAGCAGGTAAAACTTCCTAGCACCAGAGTATTGCTTTATTTCTTATTTTCAACTTGATTTTTATTCCGTGAAACTAATCAGCGGCAGGTTAGGACCGCTCTAGAAAATGATTTTGCATTATTTGCAAAAACACACACACACACACACACACACCCATACACACTCTCTGTGGATTTTATGCTCATCATCTTTTTCAACTCGTGTTTTGAATACCATCTAAAAATGGCGCCAAAGGCTTGTTTGAAATTCTACTTTTTCTTCCTTTAGTGTGGTAATGGAATGGACAAACAACCACGACCTTGCTCTTGCTCGGGAGGTTTTGTTATTGGAACCTTTTCGTCTACAGGCAAGGACAGTTGAAAGAGGAAAAGTGTGGCAAACAATAGCGGACAACCTGAATTCGCACGCTACATTGAGGTCTCTTGTCACAAAGAAATCGGTGAGGGAGCATCTTAAGCTTTTACTGGACAAGTATCGTGCAAGAATGCAGAAGGAAGGGAGAGACAGTGGAGTGGAAGTAGAGCAAACAGAGCTGGACCAAGCCCTCGAGGAGATCAACGAGAAGTGGGAAGCAGCGGATATATTGTTGCTGAATAACAGGAAAAAAACAGAGGAGGACAGAGCGATGGGAGAGGAGGTCCAAAAGAAGGCGTGCAAAAAGCTGGGTGAAACGATGAAGCGGAAAGGAGAAGGTGACGGTTCGTCAGAACCGAAGAAGAAAAGGTCAAGAAAGGGTGGAAATGACACAATAGAGTTTCTGAGGGAAAAGGCAAACTTTGATATGGCAATGAAACAAGAAGAACAGAAAGCGAGAAGGGAGGAGCACGAGCGGCAAACAAGGCTTTATGAGCTAGCACTTGCTAATCAACAACAGCAACAACAACAGAGCAATCATTTCATGAGTCTGATAAGAAGTCTGATAATAAGACGGTTAATTTTGTTTGAGATGAAAGCATTCAAGAAACATACTTTATTGTTTACTTCAGTTTGCTTGCTTCTGCAGTTCTACTCTTACATATATGATCCACGTCATGTCTTGAAGTTACGACAACTTGTTAAATTTGAAACTGCTTGATACGTTATTTTGGGATGGAAATCCCTTTGTGTTCTTTGTCTTTTACATGCATGGTAACAGCAATAAAAACCACTGATTGTTGTCACATTGAGGTGGTTTTTATATAATTAGCACAAAAAACTTAACTTTTCGAACATTGCCATGAGTGCTTTTAATATAGAATGAAATATACGAAATACCGTGATAAAGGTAAACTTATAGGCCAAGAAATAATAAACTTTTTGATTAGTTTCCATGAATTTCTTTGAATATTTCAAAAAAATGGTAGGGTGGATGTGAGTGTGGGTGTCTAAAAAAGTGTTAGAAGAACAAACTTGTCCCAAGACTTTTTTCCATGATTGTAGGGTAGTCTTACTTTAGAATTGGTAGAATTCTCATGATACAAACCCTTTCTAATGACACGTAACGGGAACACCTCGGGTTCTCCTATCAAGCAATTAAGACACTCATTTCTTCACAGAACTTCATAGAACTTGCAATCTATATCGATGACTATTACTACATAAAATTAATTTTCTCTTCAAGATAAATATGTTTTCAGAAAAGGAGTGATCAGTTTGGTTACAACTTGTACTCTTTACTTTCTGCAAGTTGGTTTCACCCTACCTTTATCAAACACTCTAGGTTCTCTTCCAGTTTGATTTGCCTTCGAAGCTATTATTTCATGACTTAACTCGATCAGTTGTTGTATCTCCTCAGCCATACCTGCGTAATAGATAAATATTCAGTTTACTTTGAAGCTTCTAATACCAATTTGACCAGAGACATATATGGTACACGAAGAAGCACTTTTTGGATTTGCTACTGGGGAAACACCCCGGTATAAGAACTGGTTCATGTTTATCCTGAGGGTCAAACGAGTTATAGAGCTACGCGGGAAGTTTAAACCGGCAAGAGAGAAGCGCGTAAAAAAGGGGCTGTGTCATTGATGGCTGTCCATTTCATCTTGTTAATTATATTGCCAATTACGTACATAGCCTGCGAGCAAGCTCTCAATTACCAAAAACCAAAGCGCTTTGGTTAGGGTCATTAAGAAATCGCAAGGACGAACCCTTTACTTTTAAGTGGCCCAAAGAACCGCTTAGAGTCCTTGGAACCTATATTTCATACGATGAGAAACAAAACGAGGAATTCAATTTTAAAGGAAAGATGCAAAAACTTGACACCATTCTAGGCATATGGAACTCTAGGAACCTCACTCTTTTTGGTAAGTGTCTTATAACGAAATCTCTTGGCATCTCACAGCTAGTTCACCCACTTTCAACAATCGATTTTCCAACACAATTGGTTCAAGCTGTTAATTCAAGCATCTTTAAATTTATCTGGAAAAATCGAAGAGACAAAATCAAACGCAAAATTATGGTCCAAGACTATAACAAAGGTGGTCTACGTGCTCCAAGCATAGAAACCATGGCCACATCACTCAAACTGGCATGGATATCCAGGTTCTTACAAAGTATACCTGCGCATGACGACGAATCATGGAAGGTCATTCCCAACCACTTTTTCGATAAATAAGGTGGCTTGAACTTCCTGTTACGTTGTAATTATGACAAGAATTTTCTTGATAAAATGTGTCTCCCTTACTTCTATAAGTTGACATTACTACATTTCTTAGAACTTAAAACTTCTTATAATACGCAGTTTTGCCGGTTTGTATCATTCAACAATAAAGATATTTTAATTGGCGGCCGTTCATTCTTTTATAGAAGTTGGATGAATAAAAATGCCTTTCTTGTTCATGATACACTGATTCAGCCTAAGACCGGAAGTTGCATGAAAGCGAGGCCTAAGGGCTATCTTTCGCGCGAATCTCAAAAATCATGGCGGAAAACACCGAGACTTTGCATGGAAGACCTGGAATGTCTTCTGATGTAAACCTTCCACCGGAAGACATTCCATGTTCATCCGTGAAAAATGGAGAAGACATAAGTAAGTGGACAATTCCAAAATTGAAATTTTGGTTGAAATGCAGAAGACTGAACCAACAGGGACTGAAGAAAGATCTTGTCAAAAAGTAAGTTTCGCAGCACCTGCATTACATAAACACTGTTATCTAACCTTCCACGCTAGTGAAAAGAATTTCGTTTTCGCTAAAATCTTTTCTTTTCTGCTTTTAATTTGAGATTTGTTTCTTTTCGGGGCAGGGTCAAGGCATTCAACGCGATTCCTTACTACCCTGATCCTGAGAAGAGCTACACGAAAGCAAAGGTTGAAAAGCTAAAGACCCTTAATATCGAAACAGTCCAGACTGAGCTAAGCGACCAACAAGCAAACTCGTGTAGTTCGATTTTAGACACTTTACCTCCGGATGAAAACACTCAATTTTCAGAGGACTTTTCTGTTTTGCCCCCATTTGTGCCTATGGATGCTTTTGATCAGGTAAAAAATTCTGGTAAATCCATGAAGAAATTTACCAATGCAGCAGTTGTTATAAACTCAAATGACAAAGGCCTCCGTATGGTCAATTTTGTGCACGATTTACAGGTGTATAATGACACGGAAAATAACATCATATACGTCCGTGCTTGCTGTTGGGCTTCCTATAAGAGGAATGTTAAATACAAGGTGAAAATGGTATGTAAACAAAGTGGGACCCCAAAGATGCTAGCAGCAAAGTGTGATAGGCAGTGTCCGGCTTCCAACAGTGGTTGTTGTTGTCATGTTATGGCCCTCATATGGAAACTTGAGGACATGACGAGAAAGTCCGAGCTAAAAAATATCACTCCTGACAACAGATGCTGCACATCAAAACCAAGGGAATGGGGAAAAGGGGGTAGACGAGAAGTAGAGTTCTCTCCAGTGATGGCTTTAAAAATAACAAAACCAAGACATGCATCTGACTTACCTGGTAGGAAGAAAAGGAGTATTGACTCTCAGTTTTACGATCCCAGACCATTGAAATCACAGAAGCTTGATGCTGATGGAATTGTAAAGCTGAGGCAAGATCTTCAGAAAATAAATGCTCGTATACCCTTTGCTGCTATGTTACCAGAGGAAAAGACAATTCAAACAGTAATGACTATAGTTGGCACTGTTGCTAAAGGTTCAACAATTCATAAGCAACTTCAAGATTATTCCCGGCAGCCTCCAAATTTGGTAGTACCCTATTTTAGTAGTTCTTCCCTTGCTGGTAAAGAAAATGTGAATCCTGTCTCAAATGGGCAAGCACTGAATTCAAATTCAAGTTTGAATCATGAAATCTCTGCTCCACCTTCCACTGTGCAGTGTGAATCCGAAATGGCACCCCTTAGCACTCCTTGTAATGATTATGATGAGCTACAGCTACAGCAGATATCAGATTGTATTGTTTAATAACCAACAGCAAGAACAGAATATTTCAAGTGTTATTGAAAGTACAATTGATCCATCTGAAGCACAACTGCCAACAGTCCAAACAGAAACATTATTTATTGAAACTCTTACAGACAAGCAAAAGCAAATTGAAATGGCAACAAGAGGACAATCAACGAATCCTGCTTGGTTTGAACAAAAGCAAAACAGAATAACTGCCAGTATCTGTAAAGATGTCTTTTCTCATATGCAAAAACAGGGGTCAAAATTACCAGAAAATCTAGTAAAAAAATTACAGCAAAAGGAGCACCCCAAAAACTGGTCAGCTATTCACAAGCTAAACACCTTAATTATAAAAGTAAAGGATTGATCTTTGGTATTGAAAATGAACCTGTGGCAGCTGATTTGTACAAAGAATATCTCTTGTCATTGCCAGACATCAAGGAAGTGACAGTTGAAGAGATTGGATTAATTTAGACAAAGAAAATGATGTTCTGGCAGCAAGCCCTGACAGAATTGCAACAATAGTGTATGCCAATGGTGACATCGAATACAGAAATGTGGAAATAAAATGTTTAGAGTCCAAGCAGGATGTGTCACCAGAGACTGCAATAAATAATCATCAAAAGGAAAGCAGTTTCCCATTTATGGAAGTGAACTCTGTCTTTGTAGTAAAAGAAAAGCACAAATATTGGTTTCAGTCCCAGATGCAAATGGGGTCAGTGGAATTCCATTAACTGACTTTGTCATATTTACCAACAACACATTTCCAGTTTTGGTTCTCAAGGTCACAACATCGTCAAGGTGGGAGGATGAAATTAAGCCTAGTTTAATTGCTTTCCACAAGAAATATATCTCAAAATAAAAACTGTGTGTGTTTTTAGAACTGCAAAGCAACACTATTAATTTCTTGGAAAATATAAGTTGACTCTAACAAAATGTCTGCATAAGAGCTTTAGTATGTTCTAAAGCACAAGGAATGGTATTCAAGTTATACTTTACAAGTGATGGGATGGTGGTGGTAGGGAAGGTGAAACTAGATATTTTTGTGTATTTTTGAAAATTTGACTGTTATTTTTTAGGATTTGTCTTACAGATAGACTTTTAGTTTTGAAGAAAAGAGAAATTTTGGTTTTATTATCTACATTATTATCACCATCATCATTACTATAAAAAATATATTTTCTTCAATCACAGTCAGTCTCCATCAGTTTTAAATCTCGGTACCCAATCTACCCATGTGCATTTGATAGAATAATATTATTTTTGCATTCACTTTTTCACATATCAAGTCCTCCAATTATTGAAAAAACCCAAACAAGAGACTTATATAAAGTAACAAGACCTGGACAGCTTCAGAATCTTTAGTTTAACATTCATTTCCTAAAAAACACACTTGTTAGTTCCCTGATATAAGAACCCATCCCTTCCGAAAAACGGAAAGCTTACTTTCTTTAAACTGAAATAATTGGATATTGAAAATTTACTAACAAAGCACATACAGTCCAGATCTGATTTATGGACCCAAAGACGGAAAGAGGCAGAACTTGACTAAAAATATGCCAAGCCTTGATTCGCTTAATTGCTCTTTCAACATGAATACGCACATTTGCTATACTCATGGTCTCAAAACACTGGCTTTGTGTGAACCGGTCATTGGCAGAAAATCTCTTTGGAGGAATATATAAACTTGCTCCTCTGAGGGCCATTAGGTCATGGATCTCAAAGCCCTTGTCTGCAAGGTACTGGTCCCCCATTTCAATTAACTGACAGAAGTTACTCTTCTCCACAATTTCCTTATCACTTATTCTTCCTGGATATAACTGACTAACAAATGTTATCCATCCACTCGGTGAAATGCAGATAAGTCCTTTAAATGTGTCGTGAGATTTATAGTCTGAGTACATTTCTGAGTGCTTCTGATAATCCTTGGACAACACACATTTCAGCTCTGTGCAATCAAGAATTCCACGTACGTTTTCATACCTTCCTTTAAAAGTATCTGGCAAGTGTTGTTTTATTTTGTCTCTTGAAGGCCATAAAGGCAAACTTCCCAACATTATGTAAAGGTAGTTTGCCCAAGTAATAAAAACATCAGACACGGTACTTACAGAGACACTAAATCTATGTGCCAAGTCACGCTCGAATAAGCCAAGACGCACCCTTGTTAGAAACAACCACAGCTGATCGATGGGCTCTATTTCTCTCTTTCTATTTCTTTGTTTCTCCTGTCCTTGCAAAAAAGGAAATGGATTAGCATTGTTTGCAGAACTTTCTTTCACTTTTTCGCGTGCTGTGTTCCACGACATCAGAGACTCAGAGAAAGGTTTAATAAAGTTCCAAAATGCCATCAAAGCTCGGTAACTCTGAAATCCTGTGTAGAAAAATATGTCATCATCATTCGATCCAAACCTCTCCAAACCAAATTTTGAAAGAAACAGCTTTTGTTTAAGATCATAATTCTCGGCAACCAAGTCTCTCTCTTCTTCGAATGGTTTTTCACCTGAATCTTCGTCTTGAGTCTCCTTTGCAGAGATGTCAGGTGCATCGTACGAGTGATGTTTATTTTCCATACTCTTGGATGGGATCGCAGAAAGTTTAATCCTTTGGCATTCCCGACTTTTGGCTCTTTCGGACCTTTCAGAGGCTTCGTCATTGCCAACTGACCATGGGAAAATGGAAGGAACAGCATTCTTTACAAGATCACGTCTTTTGCCGGTAAGGCTTTTCCTGTAGTCCTTGTCACTAAAATGTTCAGAACAGCAGAAGAGTGAGCTGTTCGAGGCAAATTTTTTGTCGCCACGTTTCATTTTTTGATCCCAGATTTTCTTAAGGTTTTCGTCCAGAGGGAAATTGTGAAAAATTAAATCTGGTCGGTTATCTGAACGATTACTGCAAAGAGCAGCCGCGCAACACTTGTGACTCGAATTCTTCTGTTTACTTGAAGACGCCATGTTTATGAGATTCGCGCGAAAGATAGCCCTTAGGCCTCGCTTTCATGTAACTTCCGGTCTTAGGCTGAATCGGTGTATGGTAAGGTACTTTCTTACTCGGAATTTTTTAGGAAATTTCAACTGAACGGTAATTTCTTACAATACATGAAAGTTGTTTCTGAGATTCCTAAGAATCTGATGGATGGCGCACGGAGATGCCACATTGATAAAACCAGTATTTTGTCCGAAAGCTCCTTCCAGCTCTCAGCGGACCTTTCATTAGATTTACTTAAAATGAAAAATAGAAATTACTACTGGCTCTTGATTAGTAAAGATCAACATGAAATAAACGCTAACATGAAATGGGAAAGAGACCCCCTACCTGAAATAATACTTGCAAAGCATCATTTCTCCCGTGTGAAAAATATTTGCAGAGATAACAAACTAAGAGAATTCTACTTTAAACTCTTACACAGAATTGTCGTCACAAAAAGAGAACTGTTCACGTATGGTATTGCAGAAAAAGCGCTTTGTCCTTACTGAAGACAAAATGATTCAATAATTCATAAGTTTTGTAACTGCCACTGGACCAAGTGGTTTTTTTCAGAAGTAATCAAATGGTTCAACGTCGAGAATGCCACCTCCTTTGCGCCATCCTCAAGTGAATTAATTTTTGGTCTTAATATGACAGAAAGAATCAAAGCTCTTCAGCAATTGTCAAAAAGCTCGATTTTACTATGTTGCTTGCTAAATATTACTGTTAATTAGCAGGTCTAACGTTATTGTGCGTATTACTACAACTGTTGTATTATTCTTTCTCGTCTTAATGTCATTTTGATCCAATCTGTAATATCTTAATTTATATACTTTTTTTTGGTTTTAAATTTTGCAACTGTAATATGTGTTTTGTCAATAAAGGTAAAATTATATTGACATTGATTTATTCGCTTTGAATTCTCTTATCTTTACTTTGAAAGATATCGAGAGGAGTCTTCAGGAACCGCAATACTCCCTCTTAAGGCATTAATTGAGGCTTTTTCGCTGAAAATAATCTAATCATTACTGATACAGCTGCAAAAGACTATCCTGCACTTTGAATCTACTAACATTAGCATGAAAACAGTTAAGTCTATGATACGAACGACTTAAACGCCAAACAGCATATTTTAGGTACTTAGAATGTATCGCTCAATGTAAGGTAATCCGGATTCTGGAATCCGGGAAATTTTTCGTTTGGAATCCGAAATAGGAATTCATAGCGGATAAGGAAGCGTAATTGGTAATTGAGAGCTTTTTTTTTTTTTTTAATTCAGTTTTAGGACACCATTTCAAGACTACATACCTAGAATTAGCGGAATCGAAGTACCGTGGTATAAGGGTAAAACTCGAATCTAATTTTCGAACTTTGAGCCTGCCAGAGTTACAGAAAATCACTTCAAATTAGTATCTAAAAATTACCTTTAGTTTCACTTGCTCCTGTAGGCATCATCCTTATAGTTAAAATCAATGTAGCAACCATTGTCAAGAAGGATAAGGCCAGAACAGCTATCATTGCGGATAACACATAACGACTTATAGCAATATTTTCCGTAGGTTGTTGTCTTCTTTCATCGTTTTCATGGTGAATTTGGTTTCCTGCTGGGTCTCCGGACGGTGAAGATCGGATAGTTAATAACTGTAGGTGATCATAACTATGTTCATTGTCGGGTTCAGCTCTGGAAGCCTGCATCCTTTTGGTTGTGACGAAAACTCTGAGTAAGACTTCTCCAAGGTCACAGTTTGTAGTGAATGACACTTGTAATAACTTAGTGCCTAACTATATATGATGTCACGGGAAAATAAATTTTCCGGTCTTCTCCAGTGGTTTCTTCACAAATTATAGCCAAATATGGCCATCTAATGTTTGAAAAACGAAAACACTTCCTGAGTCAAAAATCCAATTAATTAGGTAATTAAATTATAGTATAATTATTATCGAAATGATATATGCCGTATAATTTTGTTGTTTCCGTTGATAATTCTTTCTTTCTTAAATTTTTTGTAGTTGTAAAAGCATGTACGAAATATTCAAAAGAACACTGACAATATCATCGGCAAGAAATGGACTTGGAGTTGTTAAAAGGACGTTGAAATAAGTGAGCGTGGATCATTGTTGTATATTCGGACGAACTGTGCACGTTTACTTTATCAGGTTGATGGAGACGATGCGATCGACAGGAGTGTGAAAGAGCTATTGCAGCCTGACTGTGACGATGGGATTTCGCTCACCGAAAAGCGAATAATAAGCGCTAGCTGCCGAAAAACGGTCCTCGAATTGTTAAAGCGACGTTGAGGAGTATGTATTGTGGTTTATTACTATCTGGACAATTTTGCTTGAATTCTGTAAAAAGGTGATCTTTGCCCAGTAGGCTGTTTGTCGGTGATTCCATTTATCTAC